CGGCCGGGCTGCGCGGTCCGGCCCGGCCCTGGCCGCTTCGTCCATGCCTGCCCGCCTCCCGCAAAGGTGCTTCAGGTGCAACGGAGCAGAAACAGCGTAAAATTTAATTTTCAGTTATCATATTGCCAGCGCTCTAGGGCAGCGGGTTGTTGGTGTTGGAAGGAAATCTGTTTGACTAAACAGTAGAATTAATGCTGGAGTTCTTGTCTGTTTAGCGTGTCTTGAGACATGAAACCCTTTTTTCACATGCACGTGTGATATATGAAAATGCCTTGCTCGTATTTTCTGACAAAACATTTCGTTTATAAGTTGCCACTTTTTTAGTGTGCTTAAAAGAAGTCTGAATTGTTCCTTGCCGAAAGTAACTTACAAAGATTAATTTCTTTCAATGCAGTTACTAAACAGCTTATAATAAAATTGTTTTAAAGTTAAACTTGTTTCTTATCACTAAAGTTTGTCTCTGTACAGGTATACGGGTCCCCTGTTGGAGGAGGAAGCCCTGAACAAAGCAGCAGAAAATGGATTGTCTTCACCAGAATTTTTTGAGCTGTGTGTTTGGTTAGGTTCCCAAATAAAGTCACTTTCTAATATGGAAGAAAGCATCACTTCAACAGATGGTATATGAATGTTAACTTATTAAACCAATTTAGTATTTGTTCAGTGGATTTAGACCCATACTGTTCAGCAAAGAGTGAAATTACACCGCTGAAGTTTAGAAGATAGCTGAAAGGTAGCCAAACTGAGGCTGGTATTCGCGTGTATGTGGCTCCTGGATTAAGGTCTTGTCTTGTGAAGGTTCTTTCAAAAGAAAAAAAAAAAAAGGTGCTTCTTGGTTTTTTTAGACCTACATAAATATAAAAAATACATTTGTACATCCTGTGAGTGGGTGTTGTATGTAATCATGTTTTGATGGTTTCAATTCCAGTGCCTGGTATTTTCAGTTGGCCCAATGCAGTGTTCCATTCAGCACTGCGTGTGGATACAGGAGTTGCTCATTAGCGCTACCTGATTCTTTCTGTTGAGTGCTGGAACTTGGGTAATATTTTGTATTGCTTATGTTTTCACAAAATAATAATTAAACTAAAAACAACCATTGACAATAATGGGCTCATGACTCCTGTAGCTTGTTCATCAGAAAATTAATGACATTGATGCACTGTTTTGTGGTGTAAGCTGTTCACTTCCTAGTGATGCTCATTTGCATTCATGTATTCAAAGACTGCTGTAGCATCACCTTCTCAATCAAAGCACGAGTACAGTATTGCTGCAGCTATTAAAAGGCTCGTCTGCTTGCATGTAGGACTTTTCTAAGAAAGAAGAAAGAAAATGTTACTAGGGTGGTAGGGGGTAAATGTATGCCTGGACTATTGAAATGTCTAAGTTAAGAAAATTAGATTGCAGTTTGATGTTTCTGTAAAAAGCCATTAGCTTTGCATTTACTCCCGTAGGTGATAAAGATATAGAGAGCTTCCAGCTTGAGATTAGTGGTTTCCTGAGAGAAATGGCTTGTAAGTATTCATCGCTTGTATCTGGAGACATCAAGGACAGGTTAAGAGAGAAAGATGATTGTCTTAAACTCCTCTGTAAGTTATAACCATTTTTCCCATTTATAATATAGTATTTTACATGCATGCTCTATCGTTATTGTACAATTTACATTAAATAGTTCCTTAATGTGTGTTAAAGTGTATGCGTACAATCATTACAACCTAGCTGAGCAGGCATCAGCTCACTTGTGCAGAAGTGGAAAGTAGAAAACTATTAGAAAACTATTTTATTAGAAACTAAATTTCTTTGTGAAGTATGGTTCAGCCTACTGAGGCCTCCTGATCCCTCTCTTGATCCGGTTCCAGCTCAGCTGAAACTGAAACCATGCTTCCCGTGTTTCTGGGAGGTTACAGGGCAGCTTTAAAGAAAATGCTACGTGATTTGAAGATGCTGAAAGCAGGACTGAGAGAAATAAAGTCTGGGTTTAAGCTGGACTTGGACAAAGAAGTAGCAGCAGGAACCAGTGTGATAATGTGAAAGTAGCCAAAGAACTAGGGGTCTGGTGGCGGGAGTGGGTTAAGCAGTTAAGTACGATGTGTAGACTGAGCGTAGGAAGTCAGGTGAGAGTTAGTTCAGATAAAGAGTGGGAAACTGATACTGATCTGTCCAGGAGAGAGCTGAGAAAGAGTCTCCCTTTTATCATGGTGGTGTTATAAATGTATATATTGTATTTGTATATGAGAATGTGGATGCGGAAATGTTCAAGTGTCTAAATCTGCTATTATGACACTTTTCTCTCTAGTATTTCTAAGTACAGAACTTCAGGCTTTAAAGATACTGGACAACAAGAAAACGAAAGGCTCTCATTTGGAAAAGCACAATGAAATTTATCAGGAAGTGCAAGCTATTTGTGATGCACTGGGCCTGCCAAACTCCTCATCTTCTGATATTCCTCCCTTGTTAACCAATGTGGAACAGAAGGTATGGGTTTTTATGTGTTCTCTCCATTGTTAAACTGTAACCACTATCTCTGTAAGCATTCGGTAAGCATTAGAGCTAAGGGCCCAACAGGCTAATCCACAAAAGCCCTATCTGACAAGTGCAACGGGGATTTTATTCTGAAAGCCAGCTTAGTGTTTAAGTTAAACTGGTTTAGTTATGAGGTGAAGTATTTTAGCATTTCCCTGAGGATGCGATGTACCTGGTGGGGCATACTTTGCCATGCAAACTTAAGGTATGGGTTGAAGTAACATAGTTTCCCTGTTACCCATTCAAATGTGTGGCAGCAAGCAGAAGACTTTGGGTAATAACTGATTGCACATTTATGTACCTGTGATCATTTCTGGGATGTATTTAAATTTAATATCCAAAACTTAAAGTTTTGCTTTCTAGTTCATGAATTTCTTAATTGCAAGTATTCATGTTAGTGCCATTGTCTTAGTGCAGAAGAGGATGAAAATGCCTGAATTACCAATAGCTGGTGAATAAGCCAACTTAAAGCGTACCACACGTTTCTAACTCACTTCACTGATGTGATCCTTCGTGTGACTTCCTCACTGCAGAATGTAAATAGGCTTTTGGGATGGAATTTCTTCTCTTGTCAGGCAGCTAAAAGTTTTGCTCTTTATTTGTTAGTGTTTGGGGAGAGAGTGGGTGACCGATCTCCTTTAACAATTACGGGAGATACATGGAATGAATCTCCCTCTGCTGCTGAGTCTTTGAGTTTCATAATTTTACATCATTATGCTTCTTTTTTCCTTCCTCTTCCTCCTCTTCTCCTCATCGGCCCGCGGGCAGCTGAACGTTCAGAGGTTTTGGGGGGAGGGCCTGTTACGTGCGTGGTCATCTCACATCTGTGTATCGAGTGTGACAAGACAAAACCTTTAATAGATTCATTTATAAAAAGCAGTATCCAGGTGACCGTAAAAATGCCTGTTCTGCACTATTAACTGTACTTGATGTGTTTAGTTTTAATGAAATCTTTATAGCCAGTCTTCCTCATCCTTTCAAAAATATTTAATGGAAAACAATTCTAGCACTGTTTTCTGAGAATTAAAATGTCAGAGTTCCAGCTAATAACTAGCTGATTGAAACTTGCCTAGTACTGTTGATCTCCCTCGGTGGTTGTTAGCTGTGTTGACTTACATCCATGTGGGTTCGTAGGCTGCAGCCGTGGGCAGCAGCCTTGCTTGCTCACTTCCTTGCTTCACTTCTTGGGCACAGATTTAGTCTCATCCCATGTTAAAGGGGTAGGACTCTAGCTCTGCCATTGCAGGACAAGCAAGACCAAACCTAGTGGGCCTGTTCCTTCATGCACATGTAATGAGTCTAGACAGTTTTCTTTGAATTGTAAGACTCCTGGTACCTGCCACCTTTTGCAAATTCCAAGATTTCCTTTATGTTAGGATCACAGGCTTGAATTGGTGTGTAAGATGTTACTGTTCATGTAAATGGTTACGGTTTCATAAGTGCTGAAATGAGCAGAATCTTTAAAGTCTGTTATCTTCTTCTTTTCTTATCTTTTTTTTTTTTTTTTTTTCCCCCTTATAATAGTGCTACCTGGGCTATTTAGCAGTGGTTTTCAGGTCTGTCAGTTCTGCAATGGTTATACCACTTGCACTCACTTCAGAGCAGTGTAGAAAGGTGGCAAAAATAGTTTGTTCATCTTCTGTGACTCCAGATTAATACTGTAATTTGTTCTCTGCATGTTTCATCCCTTACAAACAAAAGGATTTTTTTCCTACCTCTCAGGAGATTTTTGTAGAATTTCTGCTATATGTTTCCTTGCCCTTCATTCTTCAATATAGGACAGGTTCAGAGTTATTTTGATACAGCACAGAGTTAGACATCTACATTTGTAGTTGCGTTAGGACGGTGATACCACCGACTGAAATTCGTTAGCATTTTAAACATTTTTTTCAGCATGCTATTTGTCACTTTTTTTAGATTCTCATAAAAATTCATTTGAAATGATCAATTTATTTTTCCAAATATTGCTTCTGTTTTGATTAGGTTCTATGTAAAGTTGCACTGTTCATCTTCAGTATTATACTACATTGTTTGCAATAGAAACCACATACTAATCTAGTATTTTTATTGAATTGCAAATATATCTGCAGCATTTCAACATGTCTACTCTTTGTCTCTGTCTAGCGTCTTCAGCATTGTCAGTATCTGTGGGAGTAGTTCTGAGAATAGTTTGGCTGTGCAGCAGCAAGCTACCAAAGGGACAGATCACATATTGTATTTTGGTATGGAACGTTAGAACGTTGATTGTTTTTAATAATTTGTCAGCTTATTTAAAAGACTAGTATAAAATCAGGATTGCTTTCTTTATTCAAACTATGAGTTTTATAGTAGCTCAGACTCATAGGGAGTGCCTTTTAAATTTCATCTCCCTTAATAAGCTGGGGTAGTGCTTATCATCATACGTAAGAAAACATGAGAGATGAATTGACAGTATTGCAGCCTCCTACCACTAAATGTATTTTATTTTATTCTATTGCACTGAAAAACTAACAGTAATTTTGTAGCTGTTTTCTTAATATGCTATTCCCTTGTAAAGTATGTTTGCAAAGGGTAACTCTGGGAGGCGTTCTGAGGTTTAGTACCAAAAACCCCATAAATTTTAAGTGAACATTGATCAGAGATTCAGAAAAGTTTATGCCGGTGTTGTGCTTCATACCTCATGCTCACATCTGGCTTTTTTCCATTCAAGATAGTGTGAATTTCACACCTAACTGCAAAGTGACATTCTAATACTCTTTTAGTTGAAAGACTTCTTAATACGACGTTATTCCAAAGAATTCTAAGTTTTTTTCCCCACATTATTTGTTTTCTAATATGTGAAAAACAGTCCCCTAAGAGTAGAGAACGAAAAGAAACTATAAAAGGTTACTGAAGAAGTTAAATCAGGACTAAGCTAAAATAACATTTAAGTGAAATATGACAAGAATATCTTTAAACATATTTGGGAATACTTCCTCAAATTCATATGTAAGTTAGTGTGTTGCTTTTAACTGTTAGTGTTTAATAATTTTACAGACATAGTGGTGCCTGTACTCTAAGTATCAATGTAGTTGCAGGGAACAAGATGAAAAAGTTGAAAGAGTTGTCCTGTGCACCATACATGAAGGTCGAACAAAAATGTCTTTAAAGTTAGATAAATTATTGAAATTGAAATGGTCTGCAGGTAAATGGAAGAGAGGCAGACGATGGGTTGAAAATATTTTGTGCTGAAGATTTTAGGTGATCTTTCTGCAGTTATGCAGTACACTTTCTAACTAATTAAGACAACGTTCCTTCCTTAAAGTGTTGCCAGTTTAACTTAAATTAATAAAATTACACCTCTCTCCAAGTCAGTTTTTTTTCCAAAATCTTAGAAACCCTGGAGGTGCATGCATAGATGAGGTTTGTCTGTGCAAATGATGTTACACATAAAAATTACTGCTTTATTTTGACAGGGGGTAAAGGTAAGTAATAAATATATGCAACATGGTAGTGAAATGTGAGCTACATTTTTTTAAAGGAGTATAGATTTATAAAACAGATGAGAAATGTCATGTTCAAATATTAAACATGCTTTATTTGGTAACAATAGAATGACTATTTTATTATACAGCAGATTTTGAAGTCAATATTTTTGTCTCAAACAAATCCAATAATTGATTTGTTTTTAAACTATTTTTAGAGAGTGTGTGAATTTCCAAAGCAATTTTATAAATATTTAAACTTACCAAGGTCACTGATTATACAGTATGTTGAATAGTCAGATACATTCGTCTCTATCTAGCTTTTAATTAATTGGTTTGCTTTTACAGCTGAGTGTGTGAGATCTTTAGGATGATTTGGCTGTTACTCACAGAAATGTAAAACAAATTGAATGTTTTCACTGCTCTTTTATCTGGGCACTGCTTTGGTATTGTTCCCACTTACGCATGCAGACTTCTTTTTGGGTTTTGGTGGTGGTTTTTTTAGGCTCCTGCTTATCCTTCTTAATCTAGAGCGACTGTTGCGTTTAGGAATGTGGGTTATAGTGTAGATTCTCACATCAGTTGCATTCGTGTCCTCTGGCAGACAGGTGTATGTCAAAGCTCTTGTGCTCATGGCCGTGTCAGCAGTCAAGGCTGGCGGATGTGTTCTGCAGCTGTAAGGCATCTCAGCTTATGTCAGCATTCTGGTTGCAGGATGTGCCCTCAGGGTCCTGCTGGTGGGAGCGGGGCAGTGTGGTGGAGATTCAGTAATCTGGGTGTGACTTTACAGTGTGTCACAAACGTGAATGAACGTAGACCAGATCATCAGTGAAAAGATTCCTCCTTAACAGTTACTTGATTAATAAACCTGTCATATATGAAATTGCATAGGTATTCTCTTTAACTTGGAAAGAAATGGTTGCAGAAGTTTGGGGGCAGTTTCCCAGGCAGTAAAGGATTGTTTCACAGAATCAGAATCACAGAATCCCAGAATAGTAGGGGTTGGAAGGGACCTCTGTGGGTCACCTAGTCCAAATCCCCTGCCGAAGCAGGGTCACCTACAGCAGGCTGCACAGGACCTTGTCCAGGCGGGTCTTGAATATCTCCAGAGAAGGAGACTCCACAACCTCCCTGGGCAGCCTGTTCCAGTGCTCCGTCACCCTCAGAGGGAAGAAGTTCTTCCTCATGTTCAGACGGAACTTCCTGTGCCTCAGTTTGTGCCCATTGCCCCTTGTCCTGTCACTGGGCACCACTGAAAAGAGCTTGGCCCCATCCTCCTGACACCCACCCTTCAGATATTTGTAGGCATTTATAAGGTCCCCTCGCAGCCTTCTCTTCTTCAGGCTGAACAAGCCCAGTTCCCTCAACCTCTCCTCGTAGTGGAGATGCTCCAGTCCCCTCACCATCCTTGTAGCCCTCCGCTGGACTCTCTCCAGTAGCTCTTCATCCTTCTTGAACTGGGGAGCCCAGAACTGGACACAGGACTTCAGATAGGGCCTCACTAGTGCAGTGTAGAGGGGAAGGAGAACCCCCCTGGTCCTGCTGGCCACACTCTTCTTGATGCACCCCAGGATCCCATTGGCTTTCTTGGCAGCCAGGGCACACTGCTGGCTCATGGTTAACCTGTCGTCCACCAGGACACCCAGGTCCCTCTCCGCAGAGCTGCTCTCCAGCAGGTCCACCCCAAGCCTGTACTGGTGCATGAGGTTGTTCCTCCCCAGGTGCAGGACCCTGCATTTGCCTTTGTTGAACCTCATCAGGTTCCTCTCTGCCCAGCTTTCCAGCCTATCCAGGTCACGCTGAATGGCAGCACAGCCTTCTGGTGTATCTACCACACCTCCCAGTTTGGTGTCATCAGCAAACTTGCTGAGGGTACATTCTAACTCTTCATCCAGGTCGTTGATGAAGAAGTTAAACAAGACTGGGCCCAGTACTGACCCCTGAGGGACACCACTTGTCACCAGCCTCAGTTTCATTTAGCTGCTCTTATTTCTTCTAGTTCTGATTTTCACTGATTCTCTTCCTGAATTGTTCTCTCTAAAGTTCCTTTCGTTTTTCAGTTTATGGAAATCATGAGTTCGCGGTGCAGGGTTAGGTCTTCTAATGGTGATTGACTTCTTGTGGCAGGATGTCTGGCTTTTGTATGTGGAGCCCAGTGTTGTGTTTACCTCTTAGCTGCCCTTGCAGCTGCAAACTTGCAATAATTCTAATCTCTAGATAGTATTCAGCATCACTGGTTTCCAGATTTTCTTTCACTCTGTAGCTATAAATTACACTGAGGATTTGTTTTGGTTTTGTTGTGTTGTTTTGTTCCAGCAGCCAGTCTCATTTTGATAGACACTCTTCCTTTCAACTCGTTGGAACCTTTGAGGTTGTATTTCTGACCTTAATCGTACATGGATAGACACCTCTTGCCTAACAGATTTTTTTAATCCATCAGCTGTTTATTCCTTCTTCTATACTAATGACCGATTTCTTCATCTCTTGCTGTCATGCTGATCTTAATATATTCTTGATTATTAATTTTAGTTTTTGATTCTTCAAATGTTTGTCCAATTCAAGCATGGTTTGTGCTTAGGCATTTGAATTTTGAAGTAGATTGATGATGAGAGGCATCATGTACATGCTTCACTAAAATCAAAATGAGTTGACTGCATTTAGAAGACAGACAAATCGGGAACCCTGGAGGGCTTTTTGTAAAGAAAACAAAGGTTGTGAAGAAGCAAGAATTAGCAGAGAAAGAGGAGTGTAGGGCTCAGCAGGGTATGTGAAACTGAACTTTGCCCCCTACTGTAGCCTCTTTTTTGATATGGATGGAGTATAATAGCACGGAATATTACAGTAGCTAGATGGCCACTTCTCAGATACTTCTAGGCTGTCTTTTCTGCTGGAGTCAAAACACTGTTTTCCCATAATTTGGTCACAGTACAATATTTTTTACTTCAGACTTTATCTGGGGGTATTGTGTTTTTAACTTGCCACAGTGCTGTGCAAAAGTGATGTAAAAAGAACAAAATATACACCTCGGTTTTCACACAAAATTTGAGATCACATTCTTTCTTTGGTATATGCAAAAAAAAGGAAAAGGAGATTATTACAAACCCTCTGAATTATGAGTGTTGATTTATCAAGTATTCCTTTTCAAGTGGCTTTGTGAATCAATTAACTAGGTGCTCTAGAACTGGATTTCTGTCTTGTAGAGGTTTTTTTTCATAGTGTTCACTGGAGAAGACATTTCAGTAACAAGTAGAGCTCAAAACTCCGACAAGATGAACTAAGATAATACTGGAAGAGTGATCTTTGAACTATACCTTCATGATAAATTTAATGAACATGCTTGTGTGCTTACATGAACTCTTATGCTTGCAAATGTATCTAATGACTGTCCTCAGCTATAGGTTTTACTGTAGATCATGCACTACATTAATCCTTCCTTGTGACATGTAAAAGCAAATTTAATTTTAGTTTTAGTCTTGTTTGACTTGGTTCCCCATAATTATTTACAAAAGCAAATGAAGATGTAGTTCTTCTCCCCATCAGACTGTGTGCAAAACTTGTAGGAACAATAATATGCATGCAGTCTACTTCAGCTGGCCGGAAAGTTATGTACAAGTGTGGTGGGTGTTTCTGATAATGATTTTAGAAGAGCTGTGCCAAAGGAAGTTCTTTCAAGAAGAGGAGGTAGAGGTTTCTTGTAATGGGAGAGGAGAATGCAGTGGAGTTTGGAAGGCAAAAAGAGTGAGCATACTACATCCCTGATTATTGAGTGCAAAAACTAATGGAAGAAGTATAAGCAAGGATGTTTTGGACTGAATGCAAAAGTCTTAAACATAATGTTAAATGGAACCAATTACAGGATTAGAAGAAAATTAGTGAGAGAGAATGACAGCATACATATCATATCTCTTGCCTGTTTTACTTGCACCCATCACCAAATTTTTGTATTTAAGTCTAGCGTTTGGCAGCAGAACTTTTAGCTTCCAGTTGTTTCATTTCCTTAGTTGTAGTTACAACACTTATTACTAAGTAAAATGAGTAATTTAACTAGTCCTACTGCCTACATGCACATGATAAATTTGCCATATAGATACTGTTCTATCATAACTGCGAGGAGAAGTGGTGTGCCATAAAATATTTTTGTATAGAGGTTGTTCATGTAATGAAAGTATTCAGGAAATCTTCATTTTGTAATCGATGAGAAGCCAGAAGATGCATATCTGTTTTTATGAGTCTGCTAACACAAATGTGCTATATTTGATTTTACGAGTAGCATAATGTGATTGCAGCAAATCGTGCTGAAATAAATGTAAATATTGTTTGTGTTCTGAGAAGAAGTATGTGTTTTGTTCCAGATAAAGGACATTCTCTCAAAAGTTCAAAATAACCATGTGGGGAAATCGCTGCTAACAAAACCTCTGGATTCTGACCAAGTGGTAAAAAAAAGACTCTCCGTTTCTTTTCTGTATTTAACAGGATGGTCAAAATTAATGCACAGAGCTTCATCTAACTTTGTCCATTGTACAGTCATTGTGCTGTTGCTAAATATTAGCACTGGAATTCAATTGCTAAATATTAACAATGCTAATCAGATACTTCCAGGATTTATGTTATAAAACAGACTTTGTGTTGATTCATCCACTTACTAATGTTAAAAATATCTTGTATATACATGCTACTGTAGCGCTAGACAGATGCACCACTGATTTTATGTAGTTGATAGTGGTCACCTGGGGATAGATGTCTTAGTTGCTGAATGGGGTTAACTTTAAATTGACTTCTATAACTTTATAGATTTGAATGTTTGGATTTTTTATTGTAACATTGCAGGAAAGATTGGAAAAAATCAATGAAGCTCTTCGCAGTGAGTACGAGTGTCGCCGGCGTATGTTGATGAAGAGGCTGGATGTGACAGTACAATCTTTTGGCTGGTCTGATAGAGCGAAGGTAAGCTTGCTGTATTTTTTGCTTCCTGTAGGTGGGAGCCTGCTACAATTCCCCAGGTCTTTCCAACGAAAATGCACACCGTGTAAATACACTTCCATTACTGCTGTCTTCTTTCCAACCAGTTTCTCATCCCAGGTTGTAACATCCAAGTCCTCGATATTGAGGAAGGGGAAGGGTTTGACCAGATGGCACAGTCCATCCTTTGTGACTGTTTATAGCTGCACAGTTGTAAATTTTACCATCCTCTGTTGGGTTTCTCACTTTAATAAGTTCACATCTCCCCTTTTTCTTTCCTATATCCACCCCTTCCAATCAAGTACACTAGGAGGGAACCTCAGCATTTCTTATGCAGATGCAAGAGGAGGACAAACGCTGGGCCTTAACATAGATTGGGTGCAAAGAGTGACTGCCCATAAAGTCAGTGAGATTACAGTGACTGCTAACCTATGTTGGATTGAAAGCTACTGAATGCACAGATGGTCAATTGGAGTAGCAGGTCGTATTAGAAAAGCTCACAATTACTTGTAGTCCTTCCAGTGGCTAAAAATTCCAAACCACTCCTCTGGATTTTCTCTGCTGCTAAGATTTTAATTGTCATCATTTCATTTGTACTATTTCCTAGCACTCTGTATATTAAAAAATAGTCATGATTTAACCAGTCTGGTATTTCTGAGCTAGAAAATCATATTGTTTCTATCCAAGAGAGTAGGGAGATGATAAGATACAAGTTCGTCATTTGATGAATATACGTGTGGAGGCAGATATTGTTGCTCATGAGCTGCAAGAGCAACTTTTGCAAGGTTTGTGTAGAAAGTGTAAGAAGTCAAAGTCTTAAAACTTTGAAAGCTTACTGGAAGTATGGATTGTTACAAGTCATTCTGGTGTCACAGTTTGTCGTTGACACATGCAGACGGAATCGGTTTCATGAAGCTCACAAAGTATCACTGGAAGACAGGAGTCTAGATGCTGCTGTGCTGCTTTGGAATGGCTTGCTGTTTAATTTCTGGCGGGGGTTATGAATGCTTTTATGCTGAAAGAAGGGAAAAGGAGGGCATTTAGCTCACATGAGCCAGGAGATGTCCCTACCTGTATAACTTCCTTATAGCTGTACCAATGCAATTGTGTATTTTCAAATTTAAAGTATACTTCTAGAATGTAGTTGATGTTAACTGGTGACTAACTTAAACAGATTAAAATTTTAAGTCACTTCATATTATTCCATTCAAACATGAAAAACATGAATGCACTTTCACGATAGAACAATAAAGAGATTTTTTAATGATAATAGAGTAGCAAGATGATTCATTTTCCTGTCTTACAAAAACTGTTTATGTGAAATAATATGCAGTTACAGAAATAACCAGGTTACCATTAATCCAAAATGACATATAATTTTTAATCTTTTTTTCCGTTTTTCTCTTGTAGAAATATTTGTTCATAACTTCTCCAGGAAGGTTTTGGGGATTGAAAATGTTTTGGCATTGATACAATTTAGATTTTTTTTAAGCCAAGAGGCAAATTGTCCTTTTTTAATTTATTTATTATCTTGCCTTTTTTTCCCTACCATGAAATAGTTATTAATACTTTTCTCTGCTTTTGACGGTGTGGCATTTTTGGTTGTTTTTTTGTTGTTTTTTTTTTTTTAACTTGTTCAGTGTCAAGAGGAATGAGTTTACAGACTGAAATCGATCCATAAATGGTGTAGTAATTGCCTAGCAAAACAGTCATGTAAAGGAATAAAGGAACAGCACCTGTTGTCTGGTCTATCCAAGATCAACTTTTTTTTTTTCTTTCCCCTTTGAAGATCATTCTAGATGCTCCCAGAAAGTGTGTGTATTTTTCTTTTTTTGTTAAATGAAACATCAGAGTGTGTTTGGGAAAAAATCTTATTTTCTCCCCTTTTCAGTCTCACTTTTTCATGGCTTGCACAAGAGTTTTGCTGCATTGATACATTTTAAATTTTGTTCCTCAGGTTGACCTTACTTTGAAGCTGCTCTGTTTTCATCACATTTAGAAGTGATCTGTTAAAAATGGCTGTGTAAAGCTCATGAGAGAGCAGTCTGGACTCTTAAATTTTACTCTTTTTGTATGTTGGAAAGCATCAGAGGATCTGTTTGATCCCAGTGGATAGGAGAGTTTATTTTGTAACGGTGCTAATTTTCAGCGTCAATTAAGCATAATCAGCAGCATTTTTTGTACAATAGCTCCATCAATATGAAGAGAATTGGTAGCAACTGGCACTACATTTTGTAAGATAACCTAGGTTTACAGTAAGTGTGTTGTGTGTTTTGTGCCTAGCAAGTAAGTTGTGTTTGATTTTATCATTTAGGTAAAAACAGATGACATAGCACGAATCTATCAGCCCAAGCGCTATGTGTTATCTCCAAAGTCAACTATTACGTTAGCTCACCTTCTTGCCGCTCGAGAAGATTTATCGAAGATCATAAGAACAAGCAGCGGATCAACACGGGAAAATACAGTCTGTGCCATCAACAAGGTACGCTGTTTCTGTCTGGGGTGTGATAAAAGGGCATGGGAGTTTACAGACCTATGAAAAGTTGTGCTGCAGTTTTACTCTTTGATTAATATTTTAATTTCTTTTTGCAAGATACCTGGTGCTTTAATAAAGGAAGGTTTGTAGCATTCCAGTAAACATTGCAGCAACTTCTGTTTTTTATCTTATTGCGCAGTCATGTAACAGGATGAAACGGTAGTCTAGATGAGAAGGAAGGGGGTGTGTGGGTGTGTGTAAATAACCTTTTGAGTTCAGTGAAACTGTGCATCTCAGGTTAAGGGTACCTGTAAGTCTTTCTGGTATCAGTTCCTGGGCTACCTGTTGCCAGGATTACATTGTTCAGCTCGTAAACAGGCATCTTTAGTTTATTATAAATCACAAACATTTCTGTGAAAGTGTCATTTTGCTGCAAAATGAAATTACTTGGTTTGGCTACAGCAATAAATCAACATTGCACTGCTTTTTTGTGTATGGTAAAAGCTGAAGGTTGTAAGTAATGACGTTAGTTTTGCCATTCAAATAGGGACTAAGCCTGTTTTTATTAATCCTTTATTTACAGATTTTTCTAAAGTTTTGTGGCTAATTAAGATGCCCTTTAATGTGTTTTGATCCCAAAGGCTCTGAAATTTTTTTTATTATTGTAGGGTCTCAGAGAACCTTTTTTTCCTTGAGAGGACTTTAATTGGCATGTCTGGAGCTGACCAGATTATGTTAACGTTCATCACCCAGAGTTTAGGAAATATGAAAACAACAACAAAAAGACCTACTTGGATACCTCTTTGTTCTTCAACTTAATGTTTTGTGTAGCTTTGTCCAGTACAGTCTCCTTTTTTGTACACTTGAGTAATATCCACTGAAGTAAAGATGCCTGGTTTTTCTTTCTCAGAAGTGTTACTGCAGGAGGTTATGTATTTTGTCTGTTCCAGCTCTCTACTGAGTGTCAGTAGTTTCTAATCTAAGGCAAGCTGGTGTTCCTTTTAGAGTTGCACATCAGTTTGTCAGCTCATGTTTTTTGCCAGCTGATTAGATTTGAACTTGAACTTTGAAATTTAAGTAGAAGAGTTGCATTGTAAGGAGTCTTTCCTATATGAATATATATTTATATATATAAATAGATATATATTTCATTATGTATGAATTATCTGTATTGCTTATTGTAATACTACACATGCACATGGTTTTCTTCGTAAAGATTTCGCAAACATAAGAAGAGCCAGCTAGCTGCAGTTTTACAGGTGGCAAATGGGATCACTTTCAGAGTTCTGTTGTATTGTGGCCGGTGACAAGGACAGGAAATAGGGATTCTGCTGTAAAGTTCCACACCGAGGGGACCATATTTCCTGTGCAGAGCAGGGAGTGTGTCTTTGTCCATAGGAGAGCAACCCTGTGTTCTTTTAAGTTATTGTTACTGTTTTTTTTTTTAAACTAAGAGTGACCTATTTTTCCATACAGGTTCTGATGGGGAGAGTTCCTGACCGTGGAGGCAGACCAACAGAGATTGAACCACCTCCTCCCGAAATGCCTCCTTGGCAAAAAAGACAAGAAGGTGGTGGAAGAGGAGGTGGTGGAAGAGGTGGAGGTGGCTTCCAAGGTGGCAGGGGAGATTATGGTGGCAGGGGAGGTTATGGTGGCAGAGGAGGCTATGGGGATCCATATGGTGGAAGAGGAGGGGGAGGATACCGAAGATACTAAAATACTGTAAATATTAACAAAGTAACTGGCAAAATATAGTGGTGGTGTTTACTGGTATCAGGAATTTAGATATGTTAACTTGGGTTTAGGTTAGAGTTAAGTACGACCATATGAATCATTTTGCTAGACCAACTGATGTTGTCATTGAATTCTTTTAGTTAACCGAACAGAACTTTTATACTGAAATGTGATGACTGAAGTCCTTGTTTTTCGTACTGCTCATATGATGTTTTTTAATATGTCATTTTATTTAAAATAAGCCTCAGAAAACTGAATAAAAACCTTTCTAAACAAACAAAAAATATATTATTTGACGTTCAGGCCTCTCTAATTATAGCACGTTGCATGTCCACTCCCCTGCTTCAGAATGCTGTGTAGAAAAAACAAAATAGGCCTAAGAAGACGATGGAAACACTTTTAAAATACTCTAGGGTGCTGCTTTCAGGCTTTGCCTCTTCATCTAGTTTTCATGTGGGATGTGTAAATGAATTTTAATGTTAAAATCCTTAAGGCTTTGGTTGAAATTATTCAATTAGGTTTCTTATTGTTCCAGAAGTTTACCTAGAAGCAACATTCTGAATTAATACTCTCCAGAAACGAATAAAATCACGTTTTTTTTGTGTGTCGATGAATATATCGGAGACTATTTGAAGGTCAGAGTGCGTGCCATAAACTCAGAAGCATTTGGAATCTTGACAGTGTCTTATTTTCATTTTACCTGCTTTCCGTTTTATTAGTGTTTCGTAAAAATATTCTAAGATCAGATTGAGCAGGAAATTTCTGCAGCCATCATGTCTGGTAAGAGTTCATTTATATATTCCTTCTGAATTGGGCTTGAGACATAAAGGTTGAATAAGCTGAGCTTCTTGAGAAAGAACATACCATTTCTTTTTTCTTTTTTTCCCCTTTTGTTTGTCTCTCCCCAGCCTGCTCTTGTGTTCAGGAATCGCCAGCTGCCCAGCTAGTAAGACATCTCATACAGCAGTTGCCCTTCCTGAGTGACTTTTCTCTCTCTTACTCTGCCAACCAGTTGGTCTGATAACCTAAAATGAACTGTCTTGGTATGCTGTGGGTGCTGCCTTCTTCACAGGCAGCGTTACTCTAGGAGGAGATAGCTTTCATACAGTTATGGCTGTAAATATGTGTAGACAAGAATTAAATTTAGAGCTGTCAGTTAAAGATGACAGTTTCTGTTGTCCAGTGTCTTTTAGATCTCCTCCCCTGCTGTGAGGCCACTCCTTGAGTACAGGAGGTGGAGCAGGGCAGTGATGCCCAAGTCCATACTCAGGACAGGATTTATCAGGGTCATGTTACTACAGAGATTCGGGAACGCGTCTGATAAACCTGGGTGTGTCTGTCGATTGCATAGCACAGGAACCTTGAAGCACTTCAGTTGAGGACGTAGCTCTAGGTTTAACTGCGGGTTGAACTTTAGGATTTGATTTTTGTTTTATGTTCCACAGTTGTGAGTTCTTTCTGCACAAATTTCCTATTGGTGTCCATATTTAATACACTTTGAAGATGTTATTTTACCTTCAGGAACATGTGCATCATGTCTTGTTTCATAGGCAGCTTTATGCATGAATGTAAAGCTCTGTTCAGAAATTATTATCTCTTTCAAAAGCCCGTGCCAGATTTTATTAATTAGCTCTCAACAACCTTTTAATTTGAAATTTTAATGCAGATAACAGGAGAGACTCTTTTGAAGTTTATTTCCTCTGTGGTTGTAGTCTGCTGGAGAATGCTGCCTGAGATGTTATAGATATGGCCTTAGCCATATTTAGCGTCCCAGCAGGTGCCTAACAAAAAAGGGCAGGAGTTTTCCTTGCTTGAACATGTGAGCTTGGATGTGAGCTCTTGAAATAACAGCTTAACCTCACCCAACTGCTAGCAATATAGTTCCTTTCCCATTTTTTTTCTGCACTCCTTTCTGGCCTAAGCTGTTGTCAGCCTCTGCGGTCATTACAGGGAGACCCTCATGGGCCACATGGGAGCACATGGTTTTGTGTCATGCTCTGGAATAGCTCACAAACTGGTAACACACTGAGTGAGACCGCTGGCCTGGGAAGTGAAGCTTTGGTCAGCAAAGGAACGGAGAGAGTAGTTTTTAACAACCAAAGCCTTAATATAAAATTCTGTTTGCTCATCCCAGTGTTATTTTTTGCTGCAAGTAATTTCCAAACAGTAGTCAAGCATTTAGCTTCACCAAGGAAATATGCTCAGAAAATCACATGGCTTATCTATGTGTAAAGAGTTCAGCAGTCTTCAGCTGTGAAGTCGCACTGATTTAGTTGAACCGTGGTAACTGTGGATGTGCCTTGGTGCTTTCGCACTTGTCAGTTTATCCCGTTGGGAGCAGGCAGGGCAGTTCTGAATGAAGTAAACCAGCAAGTGAACCAGCCGTGTGCCCACAGGTAATTCTAACAGATTATTTCAGTATCATATTTATGTAGACCATGTAAAAGATGGAAATGTAAATAGGTTGGAGAGTTTGATTTTTAATCTGGCCACTTCAGTTTTTCTTAAATAATTCCAAAATGTGAAGCCAGTAGCTGAAAACTGAAGTAAGCACCACCACATTTCATAGAGGTATCCTTTTCTGTCCTCTGTTGTCTGGATGTGTGCTTTTAATTTATCAAAAGATGCAATAACACCATGAAAATAATCAATTTAAACCTCTTCTCAAATTTTGTATGTTTGTCTTGAAAAGAAATATTTTCAAAAATTCTGTTGTAAGTAAAAGATTTTCATATTTATGTTTGTGAGCATTTTTGAGTGTGTTCACACTGAGTGAATATCTACCTGAATATTGTTTTGTTTGATCAAGAATTGGAAAATAGGCTGGGGTTTTTTTTCAGGATTTGAGAGAGTCACTTGTTAACAGCTGTAAACACTGAGGAATAAAGTACTGTATTTGAAGTTACTTGCATCACTTGTGTAGTGTGGTTTGGATCCACTATCATACGTTCCTCTTGTGTTTGTAAGGAGGAGTTCCTGCTGGTGACTTGCAATACTGACGGATCTGACTTCTGGTGATAATGAAAAATAACAGGTATATTTTGACCAAAATGGAGAATGCTGTAGATAATAATACAGGAAAATTTCAACAGACGGGACGTGTCACAAATACATCCGTATTACATTGTCTGGGATTACTAAGGAATCTCAGTTAAATTTTATCTTAGTAAAAAAAAACCAATTACATAAGTCTATATTATCATTAATTTGTCTTTATGTAAACTAAGGAAACATCCTCCAGTTACTTCTGAAGCTTTCTGTTTTTAATTTCTATAATTATGAAGTAAAACACCACTTTTTTTGTGTGTGCAAGACTGTAGAGCAGATTTGCCCGTATAAATAGGAATTGAGTTTTCAGGAGTTGGTCTGCACTCCTTGTCTTCTTCCCCTCCCTAGGTGATGGGAGATAACTGAATGGTCATTACCCCATATAAAAACGTATTTGAGATATAAGGTATTTTGGGGTTTACTACAAGGTAAAGAACAAGAAGCCTTGAGGGTGCTACTGTGCTGCCTGTGTAACAGTCAGCATGAGCAGACACTAGAGATAGAGACGCCTTGTTTAAACTTGGCAATCATGCTGTGAAATCTTTTCAGAGTCAGCATTCTCAAAAGTGAGAGATTGTGCTAATGAAGAATTGTGCCTTGTAATACTTGGAATAGTGAGGAGCAAAACAGTGTCTGTACTGTGTCGACCACCGCAATACCGAAAGACTAATCTGCAATGCTCTACCTTCCCGAGTTTGCTCCGGCAACGTTCTGCGGCTCGCAGAAGGGGAAGCTAGACCGGGGACTCTGGTCGTAGGTTAGTTCTGCAAGAAGTGTCTCGGGTGACAGTCAAGGAAGACGGATATAGGTTGTTTAGACTTCTTTGACATGCAAACTCAGAGGCACAAAGTGCAATTTTAATATTTTTTTCTATTATAAATATTAAACCAAAATCTTACAATTTATATAAAATCTTTACAATCTGTACACTTTTTCAATCTTCTCAAACAGCATTAAAACAAATTTTTCAAGTTGCCATAGAGATCAGTTACAACAAAATAACAGATTGCTACTGCAACAAAAACATATTTCCAAGACCATATATAAGCTACTTCAAAGGCAGTTGTGTTTAATCTGAATCTGAACAGTAGCCCTGCCTTGTTAGCTGTGATATTTCTCAGTCTGTTTACTTTTATCTTTAAATGATCAGAATTCACACTTAGAAAATAAACAGCAGTTGGGGTGGCAGGGCACTTGTTTTTTCTTCCTTCCTTTAGCCATGACAAAATACATTTCAGTATCAGTGTCTGCTAACGTGACTTTGAAACAGCACTTAGCACTTTAATGGTATCTTTTTTCCTAGCATGAAGCAGCTTGAAGATTAATACAGATGTGAGTGATTTCTGTTGAGTAGCTTTGTCAGTTTTAGCAGTATCCCTGTAGTCAGTTTCTGCTGTTAGTCTTTCATGCAGCAAAAAAGGAAGTCCCAAAAGAGGTAAGAAGGGACTACCACTGTAAAAAAAAAAAAAAAAAAACAGGGACAAACTCCCCCCAGAAGTGTAAGGGGCTTTGGGCAAACAGAGAACCTGAAGGTACTTTGAGAGCTCTGGAATTCTCCAGGTGTCAACTGACTTCTCTGAAGCAGGAAGTTTTCAGCACACGCGAAGCGTCACGTACTTGTTCTGTAAGGCACTCCTGCAGACAGATCCCTTTTGCATCCTTCGGATTGTGTGTGGGAACAAGACGGTAACACAGAATCAGTAAGTCAGCATTTAAGACTGTGCAAACCTATGGTCGTAACTCAATTTTGAGTATTAAGTACTCGACCTAGCAACACAGTAGCCTTTGGACCAGCTGCTGATGCTAGGGAATTTTCCTTTTAAATAAGAGTTTGTTCATGATCTCCACCCCCCAGCACACACAAAGTACATGCATACACACAAATTGTACTAGAATCAGAGTTTAGACCACAAGTGAGCACAAGATTTATGAGTCTTAGCTGCTCTTTGGGGTATTTTTGAAATACACAAAAATATATTCAATTTTTGTCTTGTTTATTTTAATTGTTGCAGAAACAGACTTTTATTTGCTCAATGCCTATTAGAAATATGCCTTGCTGTAGTTCCCTGAATAGAGGACAAAATCAAGAAGCTTACAGAAAATGGGCAAAGCAAGTTTGCAGACATGACCTGAAAGCCATTCTGATTGCTTCATTGATCAAAGTGCAATTCCGTGTTAATTGTTAATAATTCAGGTTTAGTGTATGAGGAAAAAAAGCTGCACAATCTTCACAGCTGCTGGTTTTTGTCCTATGCATTTCAGTTATTTACAGTAAGGTAACAGAAAATTACTACTACTACTACAATTTCCTGCCATTTGTTTCTACTTATACATGGAGATGCAAGCACAATCCAAGTTCAGAACAAGAATTCAGAATCACTGAACTAGCAAGTAGTTTCAAATGGACTTTTGTTATAAATAAAGCATTCCTATGCTTGATAATGACTCTAAATTGTGGATGGAATGTACATTTATACCACTTTGAACACAAAGCGCACATGCTATTGCAATAGGCTGACTAAATTTCAATCTATAAATGACTTGGAACTTACAACTTCAGAGGAGCATTAAGTGCACTTTGTAGATAAATAGTCGTCAGTTTCTGATGTTTACATGTGTGTGACAAATCCCTGTTTAATAAAGGCAAGCAAGTCATACAACTTCTACCGATTCTCTTGGAATGCAAATGCAATTTTAAAATTGGCTATTCTGACATATTTATCAGTAACTTGACAGACTGTTTTATTGTCTCTTAACAATATGTACACTTTGTAGCTTTAAGAAAACTAAGTTACCTCCCTAGCACCTTTTACTATACATAATTTACACACCTAAGAGCCCACTCACCTTGACTCTTTACCTAAAGTGCACGTGAAATCTAGGAGAGAGAGAGAATGGAGAAACTTTGGTTGGAACCAGATGATGTTAGGAGCTCTGAAAAACAGTAACTGTTGCATGGGGACTACTGTACAGTTTCCCTCATAATATGGCCCTCAAGGTTCTACTCAACAGTGGCGTCCACTTTGACACGAGAGAAAAATACTCAGCCTTGTCCTGTATCTACCGTCTGTGGACAACAAGTTATCTAAACCGAGCTGTGGGATAGAACACAAAAATGGAAGCCATATTCCATAGTCTCATCTGTTTTACCTTAACAAAGGTAAGCTTTTGAGCAGCAGGACTTCTAAAGCTCTGAAAGAGGTTTAAAAAATTTGTCAGTTTATCTTAACAAGTCTAAGAATCAAATGATCAAATATCATTAGCTTAACTACTTATTTTAATATTCTTGTTAAACTTTGGAAATAAATATGACAGTTCATGATTTTAATCGGTTTCAGCCACAATGAGCAGGAACTGTTTCTCTTAATGGAATATCTCTACGGTTTTACTTAAATACTCAGCTTTATCAAGCATTTGTTTCTACAAACCTGAATTTTGGCCAAATCTGAGGTGACAGTCTTACAAAGAGCTACTTTGTCAGAACACTTGTAGAGTAAGGTATGCTGCTGGCAGACAAGTTACTGGGGAATCCACATGGTCTTCATCATGAACACAAACTTCGGCAACGTCACTCCACTTAAAAGCAAACCCAGAAGATACTATTTTCATTGCACAGATAATGCTAAATTACCTTTAAGAAGTCAAAAGAATGGATTTATACATTTGGGAGTGTATGTTTTGTATGGAAATGTGTTGAGCAAAGAGAATATTTCTGTTTAACATCCTTCAGATTCGCTCTCCAGTTCACTTGGGAAAGCAGCTTTATCACAACCTCTCCCTCAGTCTTACATTCTTCCACAGGAGTTTTCCTCTCTTGTCTGCTAGAAGCAGTCTCTGTGTTGTAGGTTGTCAACTACATGGTTTCTTCTCTGGATTGTGAGAGATTCAATAGTTTTATGTGCCTGTTCCAGTTGGATCTTTAAACCTTCATTATCTGCCTTTAGAATATTTATTTCCTAAAAAAAAAAAAAAACAAAACAGAGAATGATATTTTATTTTTAATTTGTTTCAGGACTGTCTGGTTGTATGTTTAGGTTGACGGGCATAACCGTAAGTTGGTGTAGCTCTTCTCAGTGGAACAGAACCAGTAACTTACTCAAATGTTTCCATAGTCGCTGGTCTATCCTTTCTGTACACTTTTAAAACTTTCCAGCATCTGCCATCTGACAGTCACTGTGTTCACAACCTGCACTTACCCACCCTCCACTGCTCCTCTCATAACAGCAGTAACTGAGGGGAAACAAGAACACGGCTCATACTTTACTGCTCCACTACTGCAGAAATTGATGTACAATAATCTAAGACATTAATTTGTAACATTGGCTGCTGTTCAGTAACTGAGGTCAGACTCTGCTGAGGGAGCAAGGGCAAGTGTAAACTGTGGGACTTGCACGAATGGGACATTTTAAAGAACCAGTTCTTACAAGTACATCCACACTTCACATCCCTGTCTATACTGAATGTATTGTTGACTGAAAGAGAAATGGTCTGTACGGGAAGATTCTTGCTAATTGTCTTAATCTCTTTCCTAATAAACCAATCATCTTTCATAAAAGATGAGCTCACTTTATCAACAGCAAAGGATACTTTGAAAGTTATACTGCTCAATCAAAGTTCAGGCTGTGGGTCTGTTAGACTGTTTCCATGTTGGCCCATCTCAGAATAGTGATAGTAATGAGTAAAGTATGAAAATAAGTCTGCCTTTGTTCCTCAAAATCATATCTGGATCCATCCGCCAGTCGCATTGATACTGTGATAGTCTCTTTAATCTGTCTGGAAAGGAGGTGTTTCTACGAACCTGAATTTGGGGCAAATCTGAGGTGACACAGTCTTACGAATAGCTATTTTGTCAAACACTGAGTAAGGTGAGCCACAACTGGGCTGGTGCAGGGCAAATGTAGCAACAGGCATCATACCTGTTCACACTGCAAAATTTCTTGGTGATTTGAAGTTACCAAAAAAAAACCCCCTAGGGCTTCACTGTCAGTTGAACAAAAGCAGAGCTCCCCACCTTCCCCACCCCGTCATGTAGGGGAGCAGAGGCCACCAAAAACAGGAAGAAATTCAGGACGATGTTACTTGGTTTACGGAGTAGCATCCTGTCCTAAGCGACTGGATTATGTTCACATTCTTCCCTGTCGCTTTTGAGACTGAGAAGGATCAGTGTAACAAGGGATTCAAAATTTATTCCCTAAGCCCTATGCTAGTCCTAAAATTTATGCTTGAAGTGAAGCATTGCTGGAGCTAAAGTGGCTAAGAATGTGTGATGCCATGGATTGTTCTGGCAGTTAATTACACTGCAGTAAGTTGGCACCTTCCCACCCAGCCATTCCCCTGCATCCTCCAACCACTTCATGGTACTGTTGCGTAAAGCAGAATTTGTTTCATCATGTATGTACCTGCTCAAGTTCCTGGTATGAGGGTTTACAGCTGTGATGATGCTCCTTCATTTTCTGGCTGGAGTCCTTGTTTTCCCATTTAACATAGGCCTTTTTGCGGCCTAGAATTGGGCTTGGGCATGGAGATGGTGGAGCTGCCTGGAGATAATGGCTTTCTGGCATCCTGTGTTCTTTCTTCTCTGTCTGCCTCCGAGATACATCACCAGCCACCAGTACGGGATTAGTCTGTGTACCTTTGTGAACTACAGCTGGTTTCAGTCTCACTGAGATTTTCTGAGCTGAGGAACCCATGAGCATAATGGTTCGGTCCTTGCTGTCTTCATTGTGTTCCACTACTTCTCCATTAGGAAATGTGAACGGTCCTTCTTCTTGTCCTGTAGAATATATATGATAAATTGTGTCAAGATCTTATCCCAGGAAAGGAGAAACAGGAGAAACAGTTAATAAATGAAACAACATTTATTTTTTATTGATTTTGCATTCATTGCTCTCCAAAATAGGTGTCGCTGGAAGTTTATCAGTGTTGTGTCTCCTGGAACAACTGTTTGCCCCGTCTCAGTAACTGTGTGTTCAAATACAGGGGAAAAAACAAAGTCAGTCCAGTAGCTGCTGCAGGGTCTAGAGAATTAAATGAGAATATGGATGAACAGATGAGGCTTACAGCTTCAGCCTAGACCTGAATTCTCATTCTTCGACAGGATGTAGTTCTGAGAGGTACCACATTCTGGCGCACTGGGTGGTGATGGGGTAACAGGCTACAGTTTAATCTCTCTACAAGCAGGACATCTCACGAGGAGGGTATCAAGCAATGCTGCAGCCATTGCAGGTGCAATCACACAGACGCACGTGGTCAGTTACCAAGAGAAACTGGCTGCGTTGTGCTCGACGTGCATGCTAATAGGAAGTCTGAGACAGAATCCAGCAGTATGGATCTTACATACAACACAAAAGATTGATATCAAAGTGGCAAGAAGTAAATTTGAAGAACATCAGATACAGGCAAAGAGCAGGAGAGAAATTCAAAGTATGTGAGTATGGAGAGAACTGGAACATCAAGATCAAAAGAAAAACAAAACAAAAGTAGCCTGAGGTCTTATTCAAGGACAACACTTCCTCCTTTGGAGGCCTGCATGGTAATACACAATATGACAAGTTTATACAGCTTGTTTGATATAAGGAGAAGAGAACAGAGAGGTGTGGATTTTTCATTTCTGAATGATGGAGAGATGAAGAGGATTGTAGAGTCAGCTACTGAAGTAGAAAAAATAAACACAATTAGCTCTTGGTTTTCCTAGCACACAGATACTCAAGTATACTGACTTTATAAACTCCACATTGAAATCTGAGTCAGAATTGTAACAGTGCAGTAGTGTCACTTAATGTGATCACAGTGGTAAAAAATGGAGTGTACCAAGATGTGCTTGTCATGAGATGAGAGAGCTAAGGGAACCTGTCCGCTGTTCAGTTCATGGCATCTAGTCCTCATGGGAGTCTGGCAGAAGATTTACTTAGTTTTTGTGGAATTTATGCACCACATATTGTGTAGTGTGACAAGAGATCTCCCAGAAAGGGAGTCCTTACTTATTCAGGCTAGAACTGGAATGGTATTACTTAGTACAGGCTCACTTACGCCTGGTTGTAGTTTATATGTTGATAAAACACTGCAGTTAACTAACAAAACCTAAACCGATGCTGTACAACTCAGCTTTAGAAGAAAAAGGAGCAAAGGAAAGATTAGATCTCTGGATCTTTTTATGTGATCTTATCTCACCATGGAATTGCTCTTTGACTCCTACGGGGCAGAGGCTTGAAGCAAAAGCAGATGTTGGGCTGCTGTCTGCAACTGAAGTTTTGGATCTTCTCTTGCATTCTATCACAACCAGGTCTTTGCATTGCTTGTGACAGTTCATTCCACAGTCTGTAAACAAAACAAAGTTTACACGATTCAGTGTCTCTGTTGTAGCACCTAAGATCCGCTCTCACACTGTGTTGCCTCCCCAGGAAGCAAGAAAGGGTCTTTGGTGTTCTCTGCATGCATTACCTATAACAACATACATCTGGTAAACAGATCGATGACATCCCTTTGCTATATATGCCTAAAACTCTTCATTGTGAAAATAAAAAATAGCAACATTCAGCTGCAACAGCATTCTGCCTGCAGGAGTTGCAGAGAAAGCAGATACCTGTGTGAGGAAGAAAACTCTGCAAAATACATGTTGTGAATGTGCTCCATGGTTTTCACAGTGTTGGTGTTTGCTCCCATTGAAATAGAAGGGTCTGTTCCCAAACCCTTTGAATTCAGTGATGTTTTGCGAAGGGTTAGAGCTATCACTTATGAGTTCCTTTATCTTTGCATTTCTTCCGGACCATCTGTCTGTCATAGTACTCTTGAAGCAGTCTTGTCCTCCCTGAGAAGTCAGATTAAGTAGGTCCATAGACACAGCAATGTGTCTCAGGATGATCAGGGTTTTTTGTCATTCACCACCAATTACAGATTAACAAAGTATAAAGTACTCTACCTTTGCACCTGTATCCTTGTTTAATGACTCCCCAGAGCTGAAATTCAAACAAACACGGAGACTATGTATTAATATATTTCTTTGCACATTTGATACCTCCAGATATAAAAATCCACTAAAAGCTCCACTACTTTCTTGCTTTTCTACTCTTTTAATCATAAGGTCAAAATATGAACTATTCACCTCTTTAGCAGGTGGTAAACAAAATAGCTTATGCGTGTTCCTCAATCACAAATAAAATACCTTGAGCTAGTCTCCAATGAATACATCAGCAGACCTGACAGCCCCCAGAGAAGCTGTGGAACTGGAGTAGACGGAGAACGCCATCTCAGCACCCTTGTTTGATCACAGCTAAACTGGGGATTGGTAGGAAAGCCAGTTTTACTAAATCTTTCTGTGCCATGGGCAGGGGGCATGTCCTGTCTGTACCAGGACACCAATTCTAACAGCCCCATGGAGTGGAAGGCTCTGGATTTGGAAGTCTTGCCTGAAGCTGTGTTTGGTGACACAACTAAACACCACAAGGTAGGAGCCATGTTTAGACAGATAACAGTACTGCCAAGCGGGGTGTAAAGGGTACCTGAAATACCTACACAGGCAGAAGCCTGGTGTTCTATATAGCTTCACTGGTGTTTTACATAGATCCATTTCTGTATATGACACATGCTGATTATGAGATTAAAAAAGTCATTATTCCAAGCAATATTAACATAATTTACTTAAAAAGTAAGCTTACAAATCCAGCACAGTTGTCGCAGAAAGTAGGCCTTAAGTAAGTGGTCTCTTGGAAGTTGTGAGCAAAGCCAAGTCCCAATTTGGAATAGATTGAACTAGCTCTCATAAAGTAAGCCGTTATTTCATCCCTGCTAATCAGACCTTCCCTGAAAATAAACAAGAAAAGTTGTTTGTGAGCCATACATTTTCTTAAAAGCATAAGGAGAATTAAACGTTCACAATTTATAACGACAATAGTTTCATGGGCCAAAAACTACAGTGATCTCAGCAATCTTGTCAACTGCTCTCAAAGCGTACAGAAGCTTATCTACGCATTTAAAATGCAGCCTGTAAGGATACACAAAATGTCTGCATATGTGATGCAACATCAAAACTACTTCATAGAAAACCTCTGAATAATCACTATTGCGTTTTTCCAGGCTTTAACATGTTAAGAAAAATGTTCTTAATTTGACCAAAAATATACATTTGCCAATTCTCTATTTTTGAGGGATAGGTTTGTCTTAGGAAAGTTCTTTAATAGTATATACTGAATATCATTCAAAAAAATATTTATTTTTCTATTATCTATTCTTCCTCCTACATCAGCCTGGCTACCATTGCTGTAAGCTCATGAAGATGTCATTCACAACACATTTAGAAGATGCTTTTGTCAGTTATGTTTTCACTTCTATTTGTGGGTGAAGAGGATGATTCTACCACCTTAATGATAGAAATAAAATTTAAAAACAAAACCTCAAAACCCCCTCCCAAAACAGATGCTACAAAGTTGATAAGCAGAACTAGGTACTCACCAGTCCTTAGCCATTACACAAAATGAGAAAGGAAAACTGGCAGCTATCTTTTCAAATTCTTCCTGGGAAATGTATCCATCCTGATCATGGTCATAATTTTTGAAGACGGACTGTGCAAGATAATAGTAGAATAGTTTATAACGAGGATGGGCTGAATCACCACTTTAGAAAGTCTCCACAATATTTATGGATTTCGTCTCCCACTTTCTCCCAGTATCTATTAAACAGTGCAACAGTCTAACTGCTTTTTTTGCCTAAGACTAAAGAAGCATTATGATGTCTTGATTTGTAGTAAAAAGTAGTTAAGTCAACATACGCTGGACTAAATGCTTCACTACACAATGACAGCTCTATTTTACTTGCGCTTTAAGATCATTATGTCCAGGCCTACATATACAACTTGTACTAATGCTCTCACTTAGTGGTCTCGGTGATGATCTCTGTAGCCAAATCAGTGTAGCTGCCTAGCTTATTTCATCAGGTCAATGTAATGTGAAAAGTAGTTATATGGCATAATTGTCTCGTAGATACCTATTTCCACTTCTGGAATGACATTACTCTTTGTCTCTGGCCCTGAGGCAAGGATAACACCTAGGCCAAATTTAGAAAGATATTCCAAAAAGGCATGTATCAAAGGATACCTACAATATTAGAAGTGTTTAGAATGACAAGAGATGAGGCAGGGATGCAAAGACAAACTCTTTACGTCTCTCCTTCTCTGTCAGTTTTGGAATCAAACACCTGAGCTTACTTGATTGTTTCCAGTTGTGGTGGTACAGCTTCTCCCTCCCCCCCATCCTGGACTGTTTTACCATCTCAGGAATTCCCATGAAGTCTTACCCTTTGTGCAATGAGTTTGGCAGTTAAGCATCCCTTGACCATACCAGAACTCTTGCATGGCTACGGTGGGAAGCAGCACTAACCATACCAGGAGCTCCAGTTGCCTGGCCAATGTGGGGAACGAGAGTGGGAATAATCAGTCATCCCCTAACAGCCTTGGAACATATCTTACCTGGATTGTAACTCAGGTGAATTGGTATCAGGGTTACTGGAATTTTGAGAATTCCAGTAATTACCAACCATGACTGGGCCAGGATGAGAATTTACTGATGCCTACAGACAATCATCTTGTGACCCTGTAAACAGCAGTCCCAAGCGAGACCACTCTGAGCTCTTCTAGACCACAGCGGGCTGCACCCAGCATCTCCCTCTGAGTAGGACGCCTCTCAGAGCCCTCGACTCTGAAGTTCGAAGTTACCATCGCTGATGGGACCTGGGCTGAACTACAGGGTTCCCTCACTCCTTGAAGCTCAACCTTCGCCCGTTGAGGACAATCATTTGATCGAGGGCTACGAGGATGATGAGGGGACTGGAGCATCTCTCCTATGAGCAGAGGCTGAAGGAGCTGGGCTTGTTCAGCCTGAAGAAGAGAAGGCTGCGAGGGGACCTAGTAAATGCTTATAAATATCTCAAGGGTGGGTGTCAAGGATGGGGCCAGACTCTTTTCAGTGGTGCCCAGTGACAGGACAAGGGGCAACGGGCACAAACTGAAGCATAGGAAGTTCCGTCTGAACATGAGGAAGAACTTCTTCCCTCTGAGGGTGACAGAGCACTGGAACAGGCTGCCCAGGGAGGTTGTGGATTCTCCTTCTATGGAGATATTCAAGACCCGCCTGGACAAGGTCCTGTGCAGCCTGCTGTAGTTGACCCTGCTTCGGCAGGAGGGTTGGACTAGATGACCCACAGAGGTCCCTTCCAACCCTGAACATTCTGTGATTCTGTGATTCTGTGATTTCAGTTTGAGACTAAGTCTGGATCCAGCCGCACTTAGGCTCCTCTCTCTGAGAAGGTGTTTAAAAAGCAAGGGGATCCGTTCTGAACCTTGTGACTCAACAGGAAGGTCTTCCTTACCACTTACATCTTTCTCCAATCTCTCCATAAACCATCCTGCCTCAATCCTACTTCGATTTTGTATTCCATTCATTTAATAAGTAATAGAGTGAACCTTGCCAACGAACTTTGTTAAATCACATTTTATAAATTCTTATTAAAATCATCTTTTGCTAATAGCTTTGATGGTGATTCTTTAAGCGACCTAACCACTCATTCACGACACCAGTAAAGCAAGTGACCTGCTCTAGAAGAAGAAGAAAGAAGAGAAGAGAGAGAAAAAGCAATGGCTGCTAGTAACAAAGCTGAGAGGCCCACTTTAAGACTCCATCAATAACATGATGTTGGAGTCTCTGGTGGAAGTAGACCCCCTGTCTCGTTGGAAGAATGACTCTGGAAGTATACAAACCAGCATTCACACTCCCCGCTAGCTCCTTAGCTGTTCAAGGAATTTCCTACGGCTATGACTGATATGTAAGGTAAATGGGCCAACCATACTTACATCTACCATCCTCTGAACATGTTTGCTGATGGTTTTTGGATCAGGCTTTGGGGCTACTCCTGAGGCCCAGTCTGCAACTACTGGCGGTCTGGAAGGTGTCAAAGGCTAGAATAAGTTGAATGGAACTTCATTAGTAACACAGGGAAAGATTTTCAGTGTTACACTTCTTTCATTCGTGACAATGGACTATGTGATATAGGACTGCAGATATGACCATCTGTTGGACCCAATATCATACTTTTGACAATTACGTGGCACTTCAGAGGAAGCTCTTCCCTGAACTCTCCAAAACAGTGGTTGTTCCTTAAATTGTCACAGTTCACTGACAGCCCTGTAAATTCACCATCTTTTCCATATTTATAAAACAGGAACAAAACTACAATATAACACTCCTGGGTTTCATCATTTGAATCACATAAGAATTCTTATTTAAAAGAACCAGTATCAATTATCAAGATTGAGCCTGATGTCATGGCTCTACACAAGTAACTTCATTTGTGCTTGTGTTCATATTATAAAACCTGATATGGTGCCAACTCTCCCACACGTTCTAGCTTAGGCTTCATTATCAACCAAACAATTTATGCTTTAACAGGTTTTGCTTAGCACATAAAGCTAAAATGCTTCCAATTTAGCATAAAATAAAACAAAATTAATTCAAGGGATAAAAGTTATATCACTAATTAAAAAAAAAAATCTTTTTGTTAAGAATCTGGAAAGGCCCTTACAGCAGCTCGGTGACTTCGTGGCTCTCGTGCATATGAAAGCTCATAAATTTCGTCTTCTGTGTAGTAAAGATCAAGGGACAGCTGAAAACAAACACAACGTTAGTTTAATCCCAAAACCAGTCATTGCTACTTGTTAAACTTGTTCCTGGCATGCCTTAGTCTTTTTTGGTGGATTAATTTTTAATTTAGGTCACACCTAGAAAAAATGCACTTGAGCTGCACAGGTGTTCAACAGTGATTTGAAATGGATTCATTTCTAAATTCCAGACTGTTATTGCCATTATCTGGCAATCTGTACGATTACACAGCTACAGTCATTAGCACAGCAAATGACTGTAGGCATAATTAGCAGTCAGTTAATAAGTAACCTGAAAAAAACTGTTACTCCCATAATATTCCAGTGGTCTGTCATACAGCTAAGCACAAAAGCACCATTCCAATTAAACTGTCCATCAATTCAAATTCTCAAAAAACTCTTGTTTAAACATGTCATATTTATCCACTCCACCTCTGACCATGTTGAACTAAGAAGTATAAGAGGAGGATAAAAGATAGACTTGCACATATTATTGAGAAGCTTTAGCTGTCAGTAGCAGCTGTGCAGAGCGAGAAACATTACACCTGGGTAAAAAAATAAATTTGAAAAAATTATCAAATTTATATCTTGGCTTTTGCATGTGTCCTGAAAAATAGCATAGCGAATATTTTACTGACTGGCAACAAATTTCATGGTAACATGACACTTTTTGAATATTTACATGAAAATAATCACACTAGATACATGATTGAATAGAAAAGCTAGATGCAAATGTGTTACATGCCTCAATCTGTGATAAGTCCAAAGAAAATATAAACTTGTTACAGAGAGTCAAGTTCGTGGCAGTCATATGTATAGAAATTAAGAAACCAAGAAACCAAAATATGCCATTTTATCCAATGAATAACCTTACTCAAATTGCAGATATGCAATAACTTTCTTGTGAACAACTGCAAGAAATACTGTTGTAGTCATAGTGAATAATTTTAGATTCTTGGGGAAATGTTAAAGTAGTTTCTGACACTCAAAAAACAAAAGTCCAAATGTAATGATACTTCTATGAATCATTGACTTACGTATGTAATTACTAATAGCTCTTCAAACTGATTTGCCTGCTAGTGGGAAAGCATATGAGTGAAAGAAACAGAAGAAGGAGAAAGACTGTTGGAAAAATCAGGGAACAAACAAGAAAATTATGTGCCCTGGAATATTAGCAGATTAGAAGCTCCTGCTTTAAAAGAAAGACTTCATTTAAATTTATGTCCTATCATACATAGCTGCATGAAATTGTGGCTGATGTTCTACATACTTGTAATAGCCATTTTTATAAAACATTATTAAAACAAAAAGGACTTACAATAATTTGAGACAGAACATTTAAACAATTTAGCGGGAAGAAATTCACCACTTTATGTAGCTCCACTTCAGGCCTTGGGCATATGTGCTTAATTTCACACACGAACACTCCCAGAGAGCACAAATAACCTCAAGCACATAAGCATTTTTATCTGTCATCTTTTTGCTGAAACAGGGCTTGTAACCAGAAAGTGGAAGCAGCCTATCTATTTTTTCCAAGCTGAGGTACTTGTTAAGGCCAAACAAAACTGAGAAACAAGACAGGCAGATTTACCATTTTAATACAAGGTAGTATTTTAACTTACTAAGAGAAGCTAAAACTATTGTTGTGACATACGTCCTAGGTAGTATCAATTTTGTTAGTAACATGGTACTGACTGGATACGACTGGAAGAGTAATACAACAACTATATTTGACTAATGTTTATGTCAGACAGTTTTTCTAGTACCAGAAGAAACTTGGCTAGAAATGTGGCATGTTTAAGCCTACACATCATGGAGGACTGAACTTCTGAGTGAACGTTTGTGTGTTCAACACAAGGAACCTTTGTATGCAATATTCTGCCTCCAAGGTGGATCTAAGGAAGCTTCTACCTTTCTCCCTATTTAGGCTTAATCAGCAGAGGATTCAGAGTACGTCCTTAGTGAAAGTACAGAGAGAACGCACACTACAGAAATAAACATTTCCTTCCCTTACAGAAATAATTGGAAGCATATTGCTGAACTGCCACCTCTCCTCTTGCTGCCAGATAAATCAGTATCACTAACTTTTTCTCTTCTTTTATTATTGTATATTTCCTTAATGAAAAAAAAAAAAACAACTTACAATATTGTGTATTTATAATTAATGGAATTCTCTGCTTGGTTGTTTGAGAGGTATAGGAAATTATGTTTAAGATGGAGGTATTTATCTCATCTAACAAACTTACTGTAAGCAAATGAACAAGGTCCATATTAGCCTCCAGGGGAAGTGGCATTTCCTGGAGCTGTATCAGCTCATTTATGTGGTTATACAGAGAGTATAGTTTGTATATGTTAATTTTTTTGTTCTCCAAGTAGTCTGGCATGCCCTCATAAAGTGATATCAAGTCTTTCAGGTGGACCCCAAGGATTGGGATCTTAAAGTTACTGCACTCGTTATAGGCACGTCGGTAACTATCATAATTTCTGTAAGATGAAAGCAGTTCCGTCATTTCATTAAACACCTGAAAATAAAAAGAAAACAAAAAATCAAAATTGGTCACTGTTTTTGTTCTGGTCATACAGCACAAGAATTTCCCACATTATTGTTAGGGGTTTACTCACAATGACTCTCAAATTTTAAAACTTTAAGCTTTAAATGCAATCTAGGTATTCACCTCACCTAATTTAACTACCTATAATACGTAATTATAGATAGCTTATCTATAGAGTAATCTATGCTGGTCTTCGTACATCCCCTATTTAGTCAGTGAAAAGAAATTGGACCTTTCAAATCAAGGGGATGCATGTGCAGCTAATGCATAAGCACAGCACAAGCTCTCTTTACCTTCATAAAAGCAACCATCTTCACCTTAAAATGTGGAATGCACTTTTCTGGCTTCCAGGTCACCAGCTGGAATTGGAAAGTCCCGACAGAGAAACCCTACGCTGTGCTATAGTCCCATCACAGCACGATCATAATCCCTACTACAGTTCAAGGTGGCACAACTGTGCTTGTAAGAAAACCTTTTTTCCATGGAAATGAAGAAGAAACAACATATTGGACTTGTTGTAAAGGCCAAATGAATCTTAAGTCTAGCAGTATAAATATTTCCCTTTTTTAAAACTATACAAAGCTGACTCTTAACATTATAAAATCAATGGACCAATGTTTTCTTGTGGAAGTTCCTGTCCAACCCCTTGATTTTTAACCTTCACAAACTGTTCGTTTTAAGTCACTAATTACCAGCCTTTATTCAGCTGCTTTCTATTAGCACTTGCATACAATTTTTTGATGCAAAAAGTTATTCAAAAGATGGACACATACGCAGCCCACTCCTTATAATGACAACATCTGTAAAACAACTTGCTTCTAAAATAATCTTGCTAACTGGTTTTACAGATCCTGAGAGCTGCAACCGTTATCAGCGGGAGGTCATACTTGTGGTCTATACCCCAGGGAGGCACTGTTCATTCAAGCTGATCATACTGTGATCAAAACAGGTTCATTAGATACCTATATGAAATCTTTCAGGCCCCAAACAAGATGAAATAATAAAGCATATTTGTCTCTTAAGAAGTTGTCTCTTAAGAAGCCATATCATTGCTAAAAAATATGCTTTTCTTCACAGTTTTAGTAGCCAGAATCTCAGCAAAAAATATATACATCTGTATTTCACAAGAATTCAATTGGAAACCGCAAATTCCTAACATTCCGCTGTATTATAACATGTGTGTATTAGGGCTAAGTTTGTTCAAGTCTGAATTAGATAAAATCTGTCATAGGGAAAGATCAGATGCACAAAATCAGTCATTTCAGTTTTAAACTGAAAGTTTTTTTCAGTTTTAAACTAGAAGTTAAAGTGCAGAGCTCTGTGCTAGCATTTCATAGACTCAGGATGGTCAGTGTTGCTATGGATGACAATAGTTTTGTTCTCAAATGTTCTAGGATCCAATTCTCTGCTTTTGTGTTTGAATGCTATTCTGCACTACTGCATACAAACAAAAATGCAGCTTGTCGCATCTGAGTATTAAAAGAGAAATTTTAGAGAAGCTATAGGAATCTTGAAGAAAGGTGGAGCTGGAAACGTAGGAGTAACTGGTGTCACAGAGATGAAATGACAAAGAAAAACCCTCCAAAACCAAAGGAAGTCTTCCTTTTTCTTTTATTCTGTCCTTCTCCCCATCTTATGCAATGAAGTAAAGTGGGGGGTTTTTTTGTGTATGCAATGACAAAAAAGTTAAAAGTTAACTTATTTGTAAAACTTAGAGGAGCGATACCAACCTTAATTACATCATGAGGAACACATGAGCTTGTTTCCTTGAGTCTGGAAATGGAACTGTGACAGAGACCTCCTATCACTGCCATTAATGTATTGAAATTCTGCAGCTGGTGGAGCTTCTGTGTTGACATATGAAAAAAATCAGTATTTAATATTTAAAGATTCAAGCTGTTCAATGTGCATATTCAAATTCTACATTTCCTCTACTGTCTTCATCTAAAGTCTTACAAGTTTTGTGCCACTATTCATTTTACTTCATTCATTTTGGTCACGAGTTGTGATTTTACTGGGTATAATGCACTTATTCTACTGTTATTAAAACAGATATTTAATAACATATTAAGATGCAGACAGAGTAAGTCTTCAGACTACTTCCTCAGAACTTCTTCCCACAGTCTACCACAACTAGGAAACACTGCCTGTTACCTTGGTTATGACTGCAGAATTAGTATGCAAAGAATAGGACCACAGCTCTGCTTTGACCCAGTAAGGTATATCTGGTAAAAATGCTTCTAATTACAGCCAAAGGCATCATCGTGGTTCACGCTTTGGAAAGGTACGCAGTTACAGCTTGGAATCTCTAGACAAAAGCAAGTCTAGTTCTTCAGTGAAAACAATTTCTTCAGAATACATATCAGAAAGTCATGGTGCCATGACACTGTAATACCTGATTACTTGGTATGAAAGCACAGCATACACAAATATGCACGCTGTGTGTATGAACCAGGAGACCAGTCCCACCACTCCCAGCTGACCCTACAAGTAGTAGTGTGCGAAGAGCAACAAAAGGGCTGTATCGGAGAAAGACAAAATAACCACCACACATGTCCAAATTTAACTGACCTGTGCAACATGAATGAACTTGATGAACACTTCAGCCCGAAGTTGGGGTGTCGGTCTGCTGAGAACCATTAGCTGCACCCACTGAGAGATACCATTGCAAAGAGCAATTGATCTTTCCATTGTTGGATTCTCCTTTACACAACTATTCACAATGTAGTTCTGATAATCTGAGAACTTAAAAACACACAAAAAAAGTGTAAATGAAAACTCATCTACAGTTTCATATACCTCATGATCTGTGTGCAGACACAGGCCTGCTTTTCAAATGAAACACACAAGATATATTTTATATCTTAAATATCCATAAGACTGAAATGTCTCCTTTGTCAAAGCTTTGTTCAGTTCCAACCAGAAGGCTTCAACTAACTGAATTAACTGAAAGCATCTTTTCACCATAATTTGTATCACATTGATTGCATCATGCATATCTCAGGAGCCTTGGCTCTAATAAACCCTAGGATGAATAGAACTGGGGCTTTCCTCCCAGCCTCAGTGCCTCCACAGAGTCATCAAATCTAGGCTTCTACAGGGAAGGTTAAACTGAATTTACAGTGTAATCTAGTAACTCATGACAGTTTAAGGAATTTAAGTGTTCAGTTTATGTAGCTAGGGCACACTTCTGAATTAAGCTACACTAATACAAAAAGCAAGTTCAATGAGATCAATACAAAACTGAGAGAAGACCATTAAGAATGAGGGCTACAGATTCCTTAATCTTTTTAATACAGCTTGCGAGATTCTCTTATTTAACCAAAGTGATCTGAAATTGTTCAGTAGACACCTCTATGTGACAAACAGATTTTTTTTAGCCATTCTTCTCATTAAGATCAAAGAGAAGCAATCATCTGTTTTTGTTGATGCAAAGTTTATCCATTCTCTTTATCCATTAACAAGAACACACAAGAATTTGAATCACCAGAAAATGAGAGAAGGGATTTATACACCCATTCTTTACAATGACCATCAAGATTAACATCTTACTGAAAGCATTCATAGCTGTAATAGACACATATCCCTTTCTTAAGGCCACAGGAATATGCTGAATATCATCAGTCCTTACAAAAAGGTCATAAATTGTCAGGCTGCTGTTTGTTTCTTGCTCTCCCTCTCTCACTTTCTCTCCCCTTTTAAACTATTTTCCATCCATTTAAAAAGAACTATTAACACTTTAAAAAGCAAATATGACAGCAGACATGTCTGGATTTGTCCTCTTATTAAATTAAAAATGGAAGAAACATTAACAGTAATAAGTAGAGCTGTCTCTGCAATTACATAGTAGTTACTTACAATTATTGTTTTAATTTTGAACTCCAGCCAGATTTGGCTGGATCTCAAACTTTAAGCAACTACTCTATACAGGTAGATAATTTTTCAATATCTGACTACATAATTACGGACTTCATAGCAGTTTCAGTACAATTATGAATCAGTTTGATTAGTGTATATTTTGTTCTCACCAGCTCTCTCCTTCAGAATACATTTATTTTATATGCTGAACAAAGTTACCTCTAACATGCTACTTAAAGTTTCAAAATAATTAACGAGGTCAGCTGTAACAAGACTGTTAATGGCAGATGCAGTAAAGATGTCCAGGTACTTAAATAATGCAAGAGTCTGGTATTGCAATGACTAACTCATGACCCTCAACAGCAAAGCAGAATCCAGATTCTTAGAAAAGAGCATAGCCTCCCTGTATTTTCTAACTATAAATTAAAATGGCTTCCAAACACCAGCATACCTGCAGTCATTACTCTGTGAACACACCCTGCATTTTTCTTTGCTGCAAGATACATGGCGTCTTGTGGAAGATTTTGCTGCATGCTGTATATGATCAGGGGATCAAGTATTCCTTTCTGACTTTCAAATGACCAAACGTAGTGGCTGATAACACAGCAGGTTATTTGCAGCCTTTCTCTCAGTATATGCTGCCATGTTAGAACAATAGAACAATTCTGTGGCTAAGCATATCACGCACACACACTGCAAGGAGTTAATGAATATGGTTAGTTATTAATTACATATTATTTTCTGATCTGAGGTCTTGGTAAACTCAACTTGCACCAAAACATACCCAGGGAACCTGCATAGAAAATGTATACTAGTATGTAACTGTTGGAACTCTATGACACATCTGACACTCTGACTGCAATCATACTTATTATGCTCACTAATCATTAATTACTTTATGTCTGCACAGAGTTTGAAAATGCTAAGAGTCATATAATCTTTGCATATTATTACTGCCTACAGGCAGCAATCTGTGCATGGCTTTGGTTCTATGGCTTTTTGAATTTAACACAAAACATGAAGAGTCACATGCTGTCAGCTCAAAATATAGTACACTAACACGACTGTGAAATCTTCCACAATCTATTGAGAGCTCCTTTCCTTGCAAGACTTCATTTTCAAATTGAATGTCACACTGACTTTGCAACCCTCTTAGATTTCGGTCTCTAATGTTCACTTTTCCACGTGTGAACTGTATCAGGTTTGAATAGAAGCAATGTTGTAGCATACAAGGGTGCAAGTGAAGCCAAGGTGCATAGGGAAGTTAGCATCTTATCAACTACCAATATAGCTGAGAAAACAAATCAAATTAAAGAAAACATAATTGAGTTAAATCCTTAAGAATTGTTTGTGTACTTGAAAGCTTGTTTAGTAAAATATTTTAAACCGCCCTTATATTAAAAACCAGCATTTTCTCAAGCGCTTCCTTATCCCTAGTCTTTACTTTGTTATGCACAATCAAAAATGGCAAGCAGAGTCCAGTGGGCATCTTCTGTACAGACAGACCATTAGTCACTGCACAAGAATGCTGCGCTGTTTCCTACAGCCACAGGAGGTTAGCATTCTAGGAGAGTATTCCAAGTTTCCTTCACCCTATTTCAGCCTGATTACTGATTTGAGTCAAAGAAGGCTGCTTGTTTCTGTGCCCAATGACACCACTTGTTCTAACAAAAAGAAATTATTTGGGAGAAGATCAAATTATTTACTTCTCTTCCTTCCAACTGACCTTGCCCCGACTCTGTTCCACAGTTGCCTAAAAGGTTCACTCTCCCTCTCCCAAATGACTGCAGCGAAGGGGTATACACTCAGAATAAGTACCACTGGCCACCTTCAACACTAGTAAAACAAAGAGTCTGGACACAGACTCAGCTTGTCCAACAGCTTGCACTGCAGGGTTAATCTCATAATACTACCCCTCTCCCGTTTTTTCTATGTCCTCCCCACCTTTCTTTAAAATAAATAATAAAATCACTTACTGATATTCTTCTGAAAGACTTAAATTCAAGATAGGTAAGATGATCTGACAGCTCCTCCGGCTCAAGGTGATCAAAAAGAAGCGAGACTTTCCGTTTCTTACTGGTGTTGGCCTTTACACGCTGTGTCAGCTTTCTAGACCAATCCCTAGAATTTCTTTTTGATAAATTTTAAAACAGAATTACACTGAGTTATTTTCTGCAGAGCAAACATTTCCTCTCTCCCTAACACAAAAGTAACATTTCTTACTGCAATAAAAAATGAATTATTTTAATTTCTGAACAGCAAGCTCCTTTCATGCATTAGAGATTATACGACAAAACATTGTTAGTCTTTATTATATTGATGTAGCATGTAAGTACAATACAGCATGAGACTATATATTGCACTTTCAGAATTGCTCTCCGTAACTTTATCTACACTGAACACATCCAGTGCTCCTCCATCTAATAATTTTTACAGATTTTCTTGACCAGCCTCTGAGTATGAACTGTCCTCCTATGCTATTTGCCCACAGAGTAACGAAATTTCATTGAATTTGAAAAACTAGCTATTCTCTTTCACAACCAGATAATTACTTATCTTTGGTGTTAAAAATATAATCACACTTTTTTTTACATCATCTGTTACCCAGTCAAAACATATTCTCTTTTCTCATAGACTTCAAATGATCTTTCAAAATTATTAGGCCTCTACAAATTTTCTAAGTTCCCTGGACAGAGTAAAATTTATCTAGCATAGAGAATCAGCACAAAGTCTACACAGCAGCTGAATTCAACCTAAGCCATTCTTGAAAGGCATTCTGTTCCTCTACGTAATACATATTTCATCTATAATGATGTCTAAACTCTTCTAAGGATAGATAACATGACTTATTAAAATTAACCCACTATAGGGTTAACCCACTATGCTATACTGAAGAGACATTATATTGGAACAAAGGAAATTCAGAGCAAAAGTCTGTTTTCTAAGCATATTGAGACTTTGGCACTCACATTTGAGTTGTGTCAATTAGACGACAGTGTAACTCCTCACCATTAGCTTTAACCAGTTCTTGAAATTCCTCCATAGTTGTGGATAGTTTTGAGTCCATTTTGAACATAACCCAGAACTCTGTAATCCAGTACCTATTGCACATTGAAAATATAGAAACACAAAAATAAAGGTTTTGCTCTAACATCAGTAAGGCTGAAATTTAGACAGTTGCTTCTATTGAGTTGTATTTCTTCTTGACCAACTTTAGGGGATAAATCCTGCTTTTAGATGCTTTTTCTAGGCTACCTTGATTTTATCAAAAATCAAAATTTCAAAATTAAAAACGAATTAGAAAATACCTGGTTTAATGCTGTATAGAACCATATTACATATATATTTGCAATAAATGCAATATTAAAATTTCTAGTTTCACAGTAAGTCTAGATAATATGCATGGTGATTTTTTCTTCATGAACTTCTAGATAATTTTATACATTCCTTTAAAACTTGAAATTATTTGCTCTGGACATCAAAAGAAATGCACTATGGTAGTCAGAATTTTGTCTATTAAGTGAAGAAAAATTTACTAATTAAATATATTTAATAGTTTACAGGTGATTCAGTCTCATGTGCACAAACTATTTTCAGAGAACTACACTTTTCTATGTTGGGTATTCAAATTGTTTCAGTCCTATATTTTATATTTCAATTCCTGTATGTGACTTGTCACCCGTTGTGGTGGGTTGACCCTGGTCAGCAACTAAGCCCTCACTCAGGTGCTTGCTCACTTCTTCCCCCCGCAGCAGAACAGGGGAGAGAAAAGGAAGGGCAAAAGTGAGAAAAATGTGTGGGTCAAGATAAAGGCAGCTTCATAATGGAATGAAAAAAAAAAAAGGCAGCCAACCAAACAAGTGATGCAAAGGCAATCACTCACCATCTCCCACAACATGCCCAGCCAGTACCTGAGCAACAGCTCCTCTGGAATGACTACTGACCACCTCCCAAGTTTTTATTGCTGAGCGAGATGCTGTACGGCATGGAACACCCCTTTGGTCAATTCAGGTCAGCTGTCCCGGCTGTGTCCCCTCCCAACCGCGTGTCTACCCCCAGCCTACACTCTAGGGTGGCAGAGTGAGAAACAGAAAGTCTTGACGCTGTGCAATCACCGTTAGCAATAGCTAAAACGTTGGTGCGTTTTACTCACAGATGCAAAGAACAGCATCATAGGGGCTGCTATGAAGAACGTTAACTCCATCCCAGCCACATCCAGTACACCCATGCATGTAAAAAACTGTGCTTATTGGAAAAATGGAAACACACATTCTTATGGATGCATGTGTGCATGAATTTGCCTAGAAGAAAAAATGCTCCCAGATCACATACAATACCAAAGCATTCTGACCTAACCTATCATCTTCTTTGAGATAATAAAAACCTCACCATTTAAAACAAATTTTACTTTCCTAACTGTTACTACTTATTTCCCATTTTGTGTAAAAAAGATATATCATACGCTAATCTGAGAGTTGCATCCTTTTTTCCTCTCTTCTCTAAACTGAGATATCACACTTTACTATAGTTAATAAAAAAAAAGTGATCCAGAATGATCATTGCAAGTGATTAAGCAGAATTACCAAGGAGAATTACCTACCAAATACAACAGAGTTTCGCTTAACATAAAAATTGCTGCAGTATCCCACTTCATTTTTTAAATAGACCTATATAATAATATTAGACACAATGCTACCAATTCCTGAGCACTGCCAGTTTTCACTGATGTTTAAGATACAGATTTATACAGACTCAGATCAAAACCGTGACACAAGAATTCATGCACTGACTTCAGTGGAACTACACAAAGCCAGTTGGGTCTTTTTGTGTAAAGCTACTAAACTGAACCTTGAAAAGCTGAAGCAGTACAGCTGTTTCTCTTCTTAAGGTCAGGTTAAGATATGCAAAAGCATTCTTATGTATGGCACATGGATAGATGCACACTAATAGCTACCAAGCAAGAACATTCTTACCTCACAAAATAGCATATCTTTACACACAGCATGGAAGATTTCTTTTCTAAAGCATTAAGATAGGTAGAAAACTGTTAAGGAAAACCACATCCATTCACATATGATATGAAATGTAACAGGTTTGATACTTCCCTACCTGTAAACAATAGGAATCATTTTATTGATAGCATATAATGTCCAATTAGGGTGTTATACAAGTGTATACAAAGTACATCCCAAGATCGTCAGCAAAAGTTATTGTAATACAACTACTATGAGTAATACTGATGTGGCTGCCCAAGTACTGAGTAGTATTAAGTAGTGAAATGATTCCGCTTTCTCAGAGTGTTTCTTTGCAACATGCCTCACAATTTCTAATAAAAGTCATGAACCTGCACATCTCACTAAAATTTGAAACAGTAATACCAATTTTATCAGTTACTGCTTTTATGAAGAAATCTTTTTCAGTTAATTATGATTCACAGGAGCTTTTCCAAAAACAAGATGCTATTTTCTTATAAACATAACCAGTTGCATACAATGGTAGAAAAAAATGTGAAATGCCTCTTCTTGCGAACCTCACCTTCCTAACTATGCAACAGTTTTCATTTGGCTTGCTGTGATAACTGGAAAGAAACTCCCATATTTTTAGTCTATTAGTTCTACAAAAAATGTTTTGCTATTGTAGCCAATGTCTTTTGAAGATACGAAAAATCTATTTGGAAAATGTATTATGCATATCTTGATTCTTCTGCTGCAGATTACACACATATCTTCAGTACTAGAAAACACAATTTAATGAAAATACCTTGTGGATCATCCCACAATCTGACTGAAATTAACTGCAGCCTAAATCTACTGCAACTGAGGGGGCACACCAGCCAAAATCTAAGCACCCATATTAAGTGCTTAAATTAAGCTGACTATAGAACTAGTGAGGTATGAACAAGTTCCCAAATAATTCGAAGGGCCCCGAACTCAATATCCAAAGTTATACAGCTTACAGATAATCCATAACCATCTAAAGTCATTCATGTAATTTAGGGGATGGAATGGTGAAACTGGGTTTTTCAAAGCACAAGAGCCCAGACTATCTGACCCATTCAATTACCTTTCAATGTCTTTACAAAGAGCTATACAGAGTGAAAACCCAAGCTTGCAAAATACGCAAGTCTGATAAAAGTTTGAATCACTTCTCTGACTGTAGAAAATGTTACTTCCCAGAAATGTGCAAGCAATTACTTTCTTCCATTTTCAAAGAGCACATGAGCCTCAGTGAAATGCAGCACTACTACACAACCGTAGCTTAAGCACAGCTGATCTAACACTTGCAGTTAGAGAAGCAGCAGGACAGTCACAATCCAATACTACAGTAAAGCTCTGCTGTAAATGATGCTGCTTTTAAAATCCAGTAAGATACAGAGTCTGGGGGAAGAAAGGATTATCTAAACTAAATCGTACCAAAATTGGCAGGAGATTCTTAGCATGTCAGGTCTCCTTCCTGTAGTGTGCTCATCTAATTAGGAGTAAATATTCTGTAAAACTAAGAAGTCAGGTTATATATTCCACAATTAAAAAATCCTAAGAAAGGTTAGTATTGCCAGTATGATCTAATATGACCTAGTAGCTTCATTGTGGAAAAATCCAATGAGCCAGAAACATGTTTGACTCCAGGCAGCCACCTGAAAATGTGAAAAAAAGGAAGAAAAAGCTTATGATTTATTTCAGTGCACTGTAATTTTGAGTGTGTGTGAAAAATCATATTTGTTGAAAATTTTCATCTCCAGTTGATACAATCAGAATATTTTCAAAAATTACACTTTTGTTCTTTGCTCTTCTGTATGGAGGACAGAAAGAGAAAGAGATCTGAAACTTCAGCCCAGGTTCACAGTACCTAACTGAGGTGCTTATGTTAATATAACACCTACTAGATAGTCCATCCACAGCCAATGGAGGGTGATTTATCCACTTAAAATCTGAACTGGAGTTTCATCTTTTTCTCTGTGGATGATAAGCTAAACCAAACAGCCAAATAAAAAACTCCAACCTTAAACCAAACAAAAATACACCCTACAATGAAAAACTGTAAAAAACAAGTATATTATTTAATTAGTGGAATAGTAATACACCCATTGATTAAATATCCTCTACTTACCCATTTCAAAGTTGTCAAGTTATCTAATATTACCTTAACAGCAGGTGAATATTACAAAGGATATAGATCAATGAGTTTCTGGAGCATGTCTGCTGAGGAGATGATAAACTGATGCATGGCCAGAATTATCTTTAGCAGCTGGTTGTTTTGATATGCATTTCCTTCTAAATCTGAAAAAAAAAAGGAGTAATCATCCTGAAATCTTGGTATACCTTGGTAAACAACTAGCAAGAGGCTTTTTCAGAATACTAATTCTGATTAGGCCTGTTCACCTACACTATTTCAAAGATAGCAGTAACTTACTAACTTAGGAAGTTAGGATCTTCCAGGATTTGGAAGACCCTTACAAAAACAAAAACAAAACAAAAAAATTAGGCAAAAAAGCAGCTGTGTCTCAAAAGCACTCAAAATATGCAGATAATTATACATAATGATCTCAGCCCAGCAATGTACTTAAATGCGTAGCTTTAGGCAGATGAGTACAACCTTTGAAACACATTAATGAATTGCGGAGCAAAAGAATTCAGTTACTGATACATACCAGTCAGTCAGTGGCATGACTGAACTCATCAAAGAGAATGGCGATATTCTTAAGTGTTTGTGAGGCTTTTTGTATACCTGACATACACAACACTAAAGTACATGCACCAGTTAGGATCTATACCTAGATGCACATGGAACGAGATAACACGTATGCAGAAGCCCAAAGGTTAACCTATGCATACTCCCGCTGGTGGGCCTAAATGTCCTAACACATTTCCTTGAACTATACATTACAAGTATTTCACTTGAATAAGGTTTTTAGACTATATCTATCTTCTGGGTCTTGGGGGGAGGGGTTCATATTCAGACAAGACCAAGGGCATCATATGTAGCAGAACATTTTAAAAAGTTTCCATTTCTGTAACAAAAAACAGTAGTGAAAGTGTTTGTAAATATTAACAGATTACGTTTTTCTACAGCCGGCCGTAAGAGAACCTAAGTAGCTTGAATTGGAATTAGACACCCTTTCAAACACAAAAGAAAATCTACCTTTTTGAATAATTGTAAATACATTGTCCTTTATGAGGATAAATGTAGTTATCACTTAAAATAGCAATAACAGGAACAACATACAGATCCAGTGCACAGCAGGGCAAAATGGAAGAGGCAGGTGAAACAGCAGATTTGCAGCATATGAAATGGCATCTATTACTAGAGGAGAATTTTTTTTTTAAATTGCACAACAGCAAAAAGGAACATTAAACTTAGCCCACTTGCAAAACAATATCATTCAGGTTAGTCATTAAGCAAGAGCTTCCATGCCCTTCTACAGGAAGGTACCAAATGTGAAGAGAGAACCCCAGAACCCAGGCCTTTCCTTTTGAACTACACATTGGATCTTTGGTAGAACTAATACAGCCTGATTTCCTCTAGATCTGTCTCCTCTGTTCTTCACTCTACAATAGTCCTATTCATGCCCTTTATCACTATACTCTCCCCTGAAAGTCTTTTCCTGCTCTTTCCCACAATAATGCCATAACTCCTCACTCATGATTAAAGCTATCAGCTACACAAGAGCAATGCGTGCTGTGGCTGAATCCAGGCTGACTGGCCAGACAGCAAATCAAATCACAGCAACGCTGGGCTCACATAGCTTCTCCTGCACCAATATGGGCACAGATCTGGATGTCTCTCTTCTACACAGCCAGTTCATTGAGATTCCTATCTTTCCATCAAATTTAGTTTAAACTGGCAAGCAGGCTGACTCTAATTCATGCACAGTAGATGTAGTTTTGTAGGAAGGTGAGTCAGAGTGGCCTAGGTGTATAGTTTATTGCTTTGGCTGACTGTTTGAAGCTCTGAAAGCAGAAGACATGCTGCGTATCATACACCTGGTGTGAGTAACTTCATTCTTCCAGCAAAAGCATAGTCAGTTTAGAGGAAACTTTATACAATAAACAGTCTTCAAGTATCTTACTACAGCTAGCCTCTCAGGCAAGACAAGCAGAAAAATCCTGATGAGTATATTCTGGCAGAGCCTATGTGAATGTGCAGCAACCCACTCAGCACTATTAAGCCCCGAATGAGAACTTTATGCATCAGGTGATCTTCAGCAGTGAACATGACAGACCATTTTCTGAATCTACCTTCTGTAATTAAACTGAAATTGTAGGGAGCAATTCTACCTACAGCGATACAGGCGAGGGGAAAGTCTGTCAGTCCCACATAAGCCCCATAAAGGAGAGCAGTATAGACCCCAAGTAACTAAAAGTTCTTGAGCTGCCTTTTGACTTTTACTACAAGTTCTCTGTTTTATAGCATGAACCTTGTTCATGTTCTCACATAAGTTCTTTCACTAGCTGAAGAATCTTTCTGGGATATAAACTGACTAGGTATTACAGTAGGTGCATCAAGGGCAAAGCAGTGAAGTATTCAGCCAGAGAAGCGGGAAATGTGCAGAGGAAAGCTGGGAGATCAGGAATCAGTACTTATTCAGGCCTTTAGTATTTGGCATTTTGTACTCTTCCAGTGTCTTCAGGAAGAGTAAAATTATTTTAGGCCTTGCACACAGAGGCCTGTATGAATTTTCATCCATTTTACAAAACTTGGTGTTCTGCCAGAGCCTCCATCCAACAGCTCTTGTTTAATCAGTAAAGCAGTTCAATATATGCGTAACGTGGAAGCCAAATGGTTATGTGCACACATACTAATAAGTATATACAGCTGTATTTAAATCACCAGCTTTTCAGAAGTGCTCAATATAGATCATCTCCAGCTGACAAAGACAGCAAATAACTCCGTCTCCTAGCAGTTTCTCCTCTGTGCGTATTTCAAAATCCTCTGCCACGACATAACACAGACACCACTTGGCATCAGGTTCCAGATTGAATTTCTGTCCTCTAGAAGGTCTCTTTTCCATTTTACCTTTTCCATTTTACAAAGATGCAGAGAAAAACAGTATGGTCTGCCTACTATTAGTGATTAGGTCAACACATTTATGGTATTATCTTGCATAATAAAAGTGCATTTATGCTTCACAACATCCGGATCTAATTATCTCACAACAGAGACAGAATTCACTATGACAACATGCAATTATTTCAAACACATTAAAGCAGTACTAATTTTTGTGCTATCCATTCTCTCACCCAACTAAAAGGCTCATCTCCACAAAGAAAAACATTGTATTAGTGATGGTTTAAAAACCAGAATGAACACTCTGCAGCAAAAAAATCTTAAGGTTGCCAGTACAGTTCAGCACTGAACAGCAAGCCTGCATGGAATTGTAGCAGCACACGATTTTACAGACACATTCAGTATCAAATATCTGTCATCTTCCTGCCCAATTTTAAAAGGAAGCACTTTTCAAGTGCATACACCATGATACAATTGTTACTAAAAAGAAAAATACTGTGTCTGATTCCTCGTCCGTTTGCATTTCACAAATTCAAAATGCAGAAAAATCCATGGAGTTAAACTGGTAAAAATGGGCCTTAAGTTAAACTCCATCTCAGTTTCATTTCAGAATTGCCATTGGGTCTTTCGCATCTCTGACCACTAGGTCATTTCTGTTCAGAGAGCTAACCTGCTAAACATAGCTGTGTGTAAGGAAGCAACAAAAGTGATGGTAAACTATCTTTGTGCAAATGGTGAGGCCAATAAGAGGGCTTTCCTGACTGTGTTGCAAGAGTGCCTCTGAATGCCTCTGCAGCATTCTCTTGAACCTCCAGCAGTTTGTTTTAAAACTTTGAGACTCATTTTCATTTCCGTTTGTATACCTGCTTCTAACCACACACCCTGCTGAGCAAAAACCACTAAGTGAATACTAAATAAAGTGGAATGGGTGTGTTTCAGTTAGTCAATTTACCTTAAAGAAAGCTGCAAAATACCACATAAGCTTTAGATTTGTTTCACTGCAGCAAAATACAAATAACCCACTAGTTACATCTTAGTACAATAAGGGCATTTACAGGAGGAAAAGCATATTTTAATAAATATTCTTTGAAATGAAAAAGCACGCAGGAGTTGAATATACTTTCCCAGTATTTAACTACATGAGTGAAAGCACAAAGATATTTAGGGCTAAATATTTTATTGTCTATGTAGTAAAATAAAGCCACTAAAAACTGTAATTACAAAATTTCCATTGCATATGTGAGCCTCAGAATACACAAGGGTAAGAACATCCTAATCTAGGCCCATCAGCCACTCTACTGCACGATCCAGTCAGTGGCTCCCTGTAATCTGTGATTTAGAAATAACTGAAGTATCATTTGTTCCTAGAACAGTTGAAAGAATCAAAGTACTCGAAAGCCAATAAGCAAGGCTCTAAGAGCAAACTGCATGCTTTTCACCAGGTCCTGACTGCCACCAAGTCAGTGGTAAATGCACTTAACAGAAAGAGTATGTTCAATAGACAAGATGGTTGTACTGAGACCTTCCCACTCATGAGGGTGACGGAGCACTGGAACAGGCTGCCCAGGGAGGTTGTGGAGTCTCCTTCTCTGGAGATATTCAAGACCCACCTGGACAAGGTCCTGTGCAGCCTGCTGTAGGTGACCCTGCTTCGGCAGGAGGGTTGGACTAGATGACCCACAGACGTCCCTTCCAACCCCTACCATTCTGTGATTCTGTGATTCTGTGATGAGTGCAATGATAAGGCAACAGGAAGAATGCCAAGGATGTCTTAACTGAACTGAATTTTGCAAGAAAAAAAGTTAGCTTTCCTAGGTCTAAGATGCCTTTATTTCATAAGCATTGTCTTTATTTCATAAGCAGGTTCCAACTCTATCACCTAGTGTACAATTTGAAATGAATCAGAAGTGAATCACAGAGCACTGACATCACGTGATCAGTGACTAAGCTACTGAGAAAACGAATAACTTCTTGTAAACTCCCTTAAGTCTTCCAGTGGTTATCAAAAAGTAGCATCAAAACCCATGCAATGCAAGAAAACATCAAGCAATTGCCAGGCGGTCTTATTAAGTGCAAAGCTGAAAGTTGTGGGTTGCTATACTGATGTGCTACATAGAATTCTTGAACATTTCTGGAAAGTGTTTTTTCTTCTGGTGGCTTAAAGAAGACAGTGTGGGGATGCTGTTATCAGTGTCTGCAAAGATCATTACAGCAGCATGTGATCTGAAACCGAGGGAACTGCCATGAAGTTCTTAAGGTCTCAAAGACCACG